GAAGAGAGAGAGAGAGATAGAGAGAGAGAGAGAGAGGAGAGAGAGAGAGAGAAGGAGCAACTCATGCAACAGGCCAACAACACAAACACACCTTGACAACACTTACCAAATGATACGTGACTACGTACTTTCGTCTCTTGCTCACATCGAACTACTTGCTTTCGGGATACTCGGTGTCTAGTTGTTGATAGTACTGTTATTGATGTTAATTCCTCTAGCGTTGTCGGAGAATGCCAGCGCGGCAGGATTCCGTCTTCGAAGTGAAGGCCACAGCCGGCGACCCTCATTTGGGTGGCGAGGACCATCGCACGTCTAGGTCGTTTTCAGGGCTTTGGGATGGCTCAGCATGCCGCTGTAGCTAGCCTCCAAGTGTGAGCAGTCCGGGTCAGTCTCGCCAGAAGAAGACCACACTGTTAACAAGCCGATCATAAGCCAGAAAGCCGCCTGGTTGCAGAGGCATTGGAATGAACATGCCCAGCGACGTCAGGATTTCGATAACCGGATCCTCAGCCACTGCATTGCGGACTTCCGAAGGACCTTCCCAAATCAGGGCTGCTTGAGGCTTTGACCGTCTGCTTGCTTGCGCTACTACAACGACCACGGCGACGACTACTACTATTCCTGCTGCTACTAGTACCACCGCTGCCGCTACCGCTGCCGCTACGACGACGACGACGACTTCTGCCAGTGCTGGTACTGTTCTCACTCCTCCTACTTCTGCTACACTCCGGACGACGATGACGACGACTACAGCTGCCGATGTTGCTCTGCTTCTGCAGCAGCAGCAGCTGCTGCTGCCATCGCTACTGCCCGTGCTGCTGTGACGACGATGGCATGCCGGACAGCACTAGTTACTATGCAGCGATCACGGTTATAAAAGTTGCTTCAACGTCTATCTTATCGTCATCACCACGCTCCTCTTGATTAGCATCGCCACCATGATGAAGTCAATAGGAAGTTTGGGGCTGACCCGACACGCAACCAACGTGCGCTCCGTCGGCTGCGCACACAGTGCGAGAGAGCGAAGAGGACTGGGCTCGGGGAATCTCCGGTTCCCCAGATAGGTCCATAAGTGATGTTCAACGGCCCCAGCGCCAGCGAATATTCTGCCGGTTCTTTAGCACGTGCAACTACCCTCTGACAACCCACAGACTCTTGCCGGAAATCGAAAAGCCTAGGTCGGCGCAGACGTTCTTGCAGGGCTTCGTGCATGTAGCCATTAGGGAAATAACAGGCTGTGCAACAGTAAACCCGGGCCACAGTCAGCGAAGTGCTGGTCATGCTACTTTCGGAAAACTTGCTGGGATTTCGGCCGATGAATACTTCTCAAGGCTGTCTGTGAAGGGAGAAGCCTATAAGGCCTGCAGAACGTCTTGTGTTTGGTTCAGACAGGCGTGACAGCAGGCAGGAATATCTTCGATTGTGCTTGGATTCTTGGCTTCGGTGGTAGAGACAGAGTGCCGTGGTATGGCTTTCGTGAAGGACTTGCTGGAATGTACTGGAGGTGTTATGAGGTGTTCTAGTACCAACCCGTTCACAGAGGAGCACACTGCGTGCACATAGGTCAACCGTGACTGCACACATTGTGAGCCTACCTGTCCCCAGGCAACTGTCAACGCAGACGTCCGTGACCATCGAAGTAGACTCCCTGCACGACTCATGGCACTGTCAAGGCTCCGGTTGATTGCCGCTTCTGGCTTCAGGACTTGACCCTCAGGCCTGAGGGTGATTTCAGCTCTTGTAGCTGTTGCAGCCTCTCCCAACCACACTGTGGTCCCTGGTGCTTCGCTCTCAAGTGAGCATTGAGTGTGTGTAAACATTTCTCTCTGCGTGTGCAGGCACGCGGCGAGGACTGCCGATGTAAGTCGTTGCCAATGGCGGATGAAAATGATGACCTTGACGGTGACCGCAGCGATGCTGAAGATGACACCATTGATGATATGATAGACGATAAGTTGATAAGGCAATTGTTTTTCTCCGTCGCATGTAAGGTGGACATGCGTGTGGATATATATATATGTATAATGTGTGCGTGTGTGTGCAGCTATCACTGCATGTGTTGTGTATAATTACATGCATCCTTACATTGCATACATACATATAGACATGTTTGCATGGTGCATGGGTGGGTGGGTGTAGCTGTGGATACACATCGCAAAGGTAACCTTGAACCCCCAACCCAAAACCCCCCATTGGTGTTCCCGATGCTGAATAAGGCAGAAGGAAAAGAGGCTTAACAAAACGAAAACCTAAACCTCGCCTGGCTTGAGTTGCGAGAGCGTAACGGCGTAAATCCTGAAACCATAAACCCTGAAACCCGGTTGTGCATTTATGGATTCGACTGTTTGCGGGTCTTATGCTCGATCATGGGAATCACTTCTTTGCAGACCTCGAACCACATGCCTCGCCTGGAGTGTCCGAGTGTGAGCGCCCAAACTCTGAAACCCTAGCCCCCCTAAAAGTCCTACGGTTGATGATATAAACCCTGCATTACCCAAAAGAAGGACTATGCCATAATTCGCATAGTATTAGGGTCCTTAAGGTTATGCAGGGTTTATATCATCAGCCGTATCCTTACATCGACAAGCTCGTGGCCGAGGATGGCAACGACTTCAGCCTTCGGCTCTCCCGGGCCAAGTTCGAAGAGCTCTGTTTGGAGCCTGGGCGGTTCAGGGCCTTTAGGGTTTGGGGCTTCGGAATTTAGGGCTTATAGTATAGGCTTAGAGGGTTGAGGGTTTTAGGGTTTATAGGGCTTATAGGGTTTGAACTTACGGTTTAGGGAAGGGACTATGTAACTTAAGGAAATGGGAGGAGGGTTTAGGCTCCCGGGGGTCCACATTTTGGGCTTTAAGGTGTAACTTAGGGGTTCCGGGGGCCATGAGTTCGGATCTTCGAGCTGAGCTGAGAGGGTTCAAGGGTATAAGGTGCCTAAACGGTTTCGGGTTTAGGGTTGACATGTTGCCTTGCAGATCTGCTTGGTCGGAGTTCGTCATGCGGCTTCTTCAGGGCTGGTTGCCCGGGAACTGTTCCAGCCACTTACTGGACTATTCAGTTTGTCGGTGGGTTTCGGAGCTATGCACGTGTGTTTCTGAGTATAGCTGTCATACCCATTTACTGGCATGAACAAAGAGAAGGCACGCCTAAACTATTTTCCGCACGTGGGGTACCTGTGGGCTCGCATAACACATGCGAGGATTACTTCAAGAAGGCGATGGAGCCTGTGGAGCAGTGCCTCAAGGATGAAATCTTCGGCTAGTATTGACGTAGACTCAGTAGACCTTGTTGGATCAGGTGTGGAGTGATTCTGAATGCGATAGTGGCATTTTCACGTGATCAGTGTTGTTGTTTGCCCGGTTGCTTTGGATCTCCAAAGATTTGGCAGGACAGCAACCTACCACAGAAGGCGATCTCGGATATCGTCATGGTGGGAGGCCACGACCGATGCACTAGTTTGGCATTTCTCTGAACGTGCTAATTTGGGCAGCTGCTTTTGAAGGCTCTACGCGAATCCCCAAGGTGCAGGAGCTCATCAAAGGACGCAGCACCGGGTCAAATCAAAAGCTGCGCATTCCTTCGTCTCTTGCGCGGAGTTTCGTAGACTGCGTCGGACTGTGGAGCTCCGGAGGATGCTCGTGTTTGCTGCAGTTTCGGCTTCGGCTCAAGAGCTGTCAAAATCCGGGCCATGCCGGCCTATCACACAGACCATGCCCGGCTGCTCCAGTTTTCTGAGCCGTGCGCGGAGCAAGAGGAGACGAAGGACATCGAGCGTGATGATGGGCTTGTCACCTCAAGATCTCTTGCGCGCAACCCCTTGAAGATGGTGGCTATGATCGCTCTTGTGGGAATGGTGGTAGGAGTGGCTTTCGTGGCTGGCCGAAAGGTGCGGGACCGCAAGGAAGAGAAGGCAAGCGAACCAGCATGGCTTCAGCTTGTCGCAGATGGCACTCCGAAGACCAAAGAACACATCAAAGCCAATGCCAGTGAGACCTGTCACTCCGCACGTCCTGGCGAAACATGTTACGGCGCCGTCTTGTGGCACAAGTGGATCGGAACCGTTGAGAACCCCTGGAACTACCCCAAGGGTGTTTCGAGAGCCTCCAACCGCACGGTCATCCAGCAGTACCTGCACGAGAAAAACCAGTCCGATTGCCGACGGCCTTGTCACGAAGAGGCCTTTCCAGTCCCGGCGGCCCCTCCGAAAGGATCACCGTCGATCTATTGCTTCTCTGTGGCCCGTGCTGGAGGAGAGATGGACATCATGCACTTGCAGCGTCAGAGCGGAAGTGGTATTTTCGCCTGTGACGGCTTCGGGATCTACAGTGATGTGGACACGGAAATCTACGGCGTGAAGACCATCCCCATCGGCTCCACAGCATCAGGGGTCTCCGTCGATAATACCGCCGCCAACTCCCAAGTTTTCATGAGAACATGGCTTACGTTGTTGAACAACAACGACTGGTGGCACTACGACTTCATCGCGAAGGTGGACCCTGATGCAATTCTTTTTCCAGAGAGGCTCCGGCCACACATGTCGTGGCACGTTGGTGCCCCAGTCTTCTTCCTCACCTGCGGCAAGTACAGACCAGCATTGTATGGGGCGCTGGAGGTGTTTTCCAAGCAAGCCCTTGGAAGATATCTTGCGAACCATGGGCGATGTGAGCAGAGCTTGCCGTTTTGGTCCTGGGGCGAAGACAAGTACATGGCCGGTTGCCTAGAGATGTTGGGAGTTCAGGCCCTCCAAGACTACAACAACTTCCTTCGTGACGAGCGCTGCTGGGGTGTCGACTGTGGCAACAAGGCGGCTGTGGCGTTCCACTCGTTCAAAGTCGTGAACAATTGGTACCGCTGTTACCTTTCATCGGCATGATGCACCAGTATGTGGCGAATGTCGGGTGATTGGGCCTTCAAAGAAGAAGTAGAAGTCCCGATGTCAAACATCGGGTCTTAACCTGTCGGAACATGGATTTCTCCAGGTGTATTGCACGATGGAAGTGCAGCAGCTTTACGCATTTTACAAAAAGCAATGCTATATCACGTATGCTGTGAATACTGAGGCTCCTGCATTCGTCCCTCGGCAAATTATAGCCCACTGCACTGCAAACCTAGACGGCGAAATTCAGTGTCGGCCTCGGCTCAAGGCAAGGCGGCAAGGCCTTTTGCGTCGAGAGGAGAGAAGTTCTTGCGAGGTCGAGTGGTGATTGCCCCTACCGGAGCTGAAGTGGGTTTCGAGACCCGAGAGTGAAGATAATCGAAGCCTCAGAGTAAAACAGCAGCAAAAAGAAAGGGAATAGTAGCAGTTGTAGCAATAATCATCAGAAGAATCATTCTAGAGGCCCTTGAAGCTTCTCTAGTCATGAAGTGGTGTGCTTGGTTGGGGAGTCCCGTTCGCCCCGGCGAGTCTTTCGAGTGTACTTAACCAGGAAGGATCCGCCGCTGGTGATGTGGGGATGCCGGGTCCGGAAACATCCGAGCCTCAGGCCTCCCCCCCTTCTCTTACTGTGGAGCTGTAGGGCGGGCTCTGCTGCAGATGGAGTTTTAAGGAAAACCCTGCAAATCTGAAGGGTCAGCTGCTGAGGCAGAAGATAGAGAAACGGGCAAGGTTATGCCCCGAAATGCCGTGGGGTTGCAAGCACAAGGCGGCTGGTTGACCCTTCAAAGAGCCTGCGGCAGAATTCACCGGAATGGCTATTCGATGTCATGCTCCGTTTCTGTGACAGCTTAGATGTTGCAGCCTGGCCGAGCAGACTAGGTCCTAGCAGACTGCATGCTGCCTCTTAAATGACATTCAGGCCTTGGTTCGACTGAGCATGAGTTACCCTTGTTCAGTGACACGACCGGCAGCTTGCACGTCGCTACACTGTGATTTTTTCCTCGCTGGCTAGCCTGTTCGAGTACCAGTTCCGAAATGCAGCTGCAATCGCGACTTGCACTCACCCAGAGCTTCGATTGGCTGCCGAGTTCGTCAGGGCCCTTCGTGTCACCTCTTCCCTGAGACTTTGGATGCGCAGGACACTTTGGTGGAAAGGAGCTCTGCAAGAGCATCAACCCGGATGAGGCGTACTACATGCAAGGATGTGGGCCGGGGGCGTTTCACCTCACAGTATGGCTACTTTCGACTCGCATCATGTCAAGTCCGTGGGAGGCCGTGGCCTATGGGGCAGCTGTGCAGGCAGCCATCGTCTCTGGCCAGGGGCACGAGGATGTGCAGAACATGTTGCTAGTTTTAAAGGTTTGGCGGGTGTGCGACTCCGGCTGCTGCACCGGAGAAGGCACACTTGAGGGGTCAATGTCGCAATGGATTTAAAGAAGGCCAATTGCAGATGAAGTTGGGAATCGGTCGTGAGATTCGGAAATGAGGCTGTGCATGAGTCGCGAAATTCAGGGATGGCCTCTCTTTCGAAGACGCCGACCTTACCTTTGCTATCAAATTCCTAGTTTGCTGTAAGAGTTTCTGCGGCCAGTCCGAATTCTGATGCACATCTAAGGCTCTTACTGGACGTGGCCCCTTTATCTCTTGGCATCGAAACGGCAGGAGGCATGATGCAGGCACTTCTGCGACTTCAGCTGTTCACGACTTTGGAAGCAAAGCATGCCCTAAACCCTAAACCCTGGAATCTTTCCGCCAGGTGCTGATCGAGAGGAACAGCACGGTGCCCACGAGCAAAAGCCAAGACTTCACAACCTTCGAGGATTATCAGGCCTGAGTATTTAGTTTTAGTCATTGAGACTATCAGCAGCCTATTTTTAGGGTTTATAAGGTTTACCGCAAAAAGGGCCAGAGACCGGAGAACGCCGTAGATCTTAGGCGGCCCATATCACAAAACCTGTGCTCCAGATTGCTCTTGCTCACCGTCCGCATGAAGAAGCTCCGTTTGGGAACCTTGCTGTAAGGGGCAATAGGGTTGAAGATGTCGCAGGGAATGTGTGCAGGGCGCTGGGTCGGGTTTGGGCTGAAGGATCTGCTTCAACATGATGTTTTGCAAGTTCTGGCCAGGACCATGTTGACATCTCCGTCTATGAAGGAGAACGAGCCATGGTCAAGGACAACAACTTCCTCGGGAAATTCACCTTGAAGGACCAGACGGGCTTGCATGCCGATGGTCGCTCGAAAGTTCAAGATTGACAGGCTCGTGAACGAGGGGATTCGCGTAATCCCTACTCTCTGAGTCTTGGAGGGTGTCTGGGCTGCGAAAGACAACACCTAGTGGACTCAAGTACAATTGCAAGGTCTAACTGCCGTGAGTGTCGACTTGCCGGGGAGCGCAACCATGAAACTGACCCTAAACCCTAAATGATGTCTGCTTGCACATTTTCTGCGGAACTGCTGATCTGGCAGGACATCCCGAAGTCCTTGCGTGGAGTCCCAAAGATCCAGGTAACCTTCACCATTGATACCAACGGCATTCTCCAGGTTGGGCTGGGGGACCGGGGAAGGTCTCGCTTCTGTGTGACATGGACCATAATATCAATGATGCAGGGGGGCTTGAATGCGGATTTTGTCGGAGATCATTCGTGTGCAGGTCAGTGCCGAGGATGCGAAGTCCCACAAGAAGAGCCGCTGGCCCAAACACGGGAAGCAGTTCCAACGAAGTCTCAGACGTTGTTGGTATGTATGCCCGTGCAGTCGAGAGCAAGTCGGATCATCCTCAGGCGAGATCCAGATCGCGAACGAAAAGGGCCGTCTCACTCAGAATGACATCCAGAGGCTGCCGTAGCGCCGGATAGATGTACATGTATCGGAGGGCTCCGACAGGGTTTCTAGGAACACAGGGGCTTTGGAGTGATGACACATTTCCGAAGTTGAAGCTGGGAGGATGCTCGTAGAGGCCGAGCAGCACAAAGGCGAGGATGAGATTCTTGGCTGCTTTGGCACCTTCGATCCTTCTACATACGAGTGCGGGTTGCTCTGATGCTCGTCCCACGACTACTACTCCTTCGCTACTTCTGCTACTCAAACGATGCTGCTGCTGCTGCTGCTGCTCCTCCTCCTCCTCTTTGCACTACTACCACTACCAAAGCACTGCTAGCACCGCGATCATTGCTACCGCTACCGCACACTACTACTCCGCCTACGCCTCCTCCCCCCTACTGCTGCTGGCACTGAAAGCCTGCTGCACCTCCTACTACTACCACCACCACCACCACCACCACAACTACCCCTCTACTACACCTACACCTACTCCTACTCCTACGCTATACAACGACTGCGACTGCTACCACTGCTGCCAGTTTGCTTGTGATGACAAAACGGCGACCTCTGCCAGCAAGACGGCGATTATTCGGGGATGATATAGCTCATGGAAATGAACGTGTTGGAGAAATTCCTGTTGGTGCGGCTGGTGCCGATGATGGTGATGACGACGATAATGGGAATGACGATGTTGATCATCATGTTCATGCTGTTCATGTCTACATAACTCAACAGCTTCACGCATACATATAGGCACCATGAGTACACAGAGAGAATGGAGGCGTGCGGAGCAGTAGCACGGCGACGGGGAGTGCGATTAAGGTGATTACGATGATGGCGGTTATGATGATGCTGAGGTTATGTGATGCATAAGACGTTAAGAGATGGGTGGCAAACAGTGGTTTTCAAGATGCTGATGAGATGGTGCTGATGATGATGATGATGGTGATGATGATGCTTATGATGCTGATGATCATGATGATGATGATGCGTCGCATTCGCAAGAACAGCCTCAGGATTTCTCGTAGCGACCTCTTGGCCAAGGAGGAGTTGAAGGACCGGCTCTGGATGGCATACATCCATACCCTGCACCGCCCCTCCTGTCCTCTATGTGATAGCGCGAGACGACACATCGATCCGTTCACAACGAGCTCAGTGTACTGTAGCCCGTCTTGCAGTCCCAACAGCGGCGCCAAGCCATGTAGCTCTCGTCAGCACACGGCAACGACAGCAAGGGCAACAGCAACAACAGCAGCAACTACAAAGGCCTACTGCAAAATGCTAATGATCTGCTAATGCTACGGCTAATGCTAGTAGTAGTAGCAGTAGTAGTAGTCGTCGTCGTAGTGGTAGTAGTCGTAGTCGTGAGGGTGGTGGTCGTCGTCGTCGTCGTCGTCGTCGTCGTAGTAGTAGTAGTAGTAGTAGTAGTAGTAGTACTACTACTACTACGACGACGACGACGACGACCACCACCCTCACGACTACGACGACGACTACTACTACTACTACTACTACTGCTACTACTACTACTACTACTACTCCTGCTCATCATCCGTCTGCTGCTGCCTTCAACACTTCCAGCACCACCACTGCATCAGCAACATATTATCATTGTTACCACTACCGCACCTTTGCTCAGGCTGTTACATACCACCACTCCTTCTCTGTGCAGGTACAAGCTTCACTTCTATTTACTTCAGCCTGGGTCGGCCTTGATGCCGCCGCCCTGAGTTCCCCATGAAAGGTCTACATGCAGCGCTTCGAGAAGGGCTTCCAGGACGAGTGGAAGAGCTTCGGTTTCGGGTTCGCGGGGCCTGAAGTAAGGCGAGAGGGCAGGAGTTCCGAGCGAGAAGACTCAGAGTCGTAGCGTCGAGTGAGGATTTCCGCACGTTATCCATGAAGTCTGCCCAGGCAAGACACAAGACATTTCCGAAGCACCGTTCTTTGCAGAGATTGCGCCGGTAAACACAGCTCCAAAGTCTGTTTGTGGTTTGAGGACCTGGATGAGTCCAAGCTGCTTCCGAAAGATCGTGAGCGGCTTGAGCCTTTGAGAAAAGGTCAAGCTAACGCCCTCCAATTGTACCGGCTTTGTATCTTAACCCTGTTCACTGCCAGCTTTTGAAGGATGCCAAATAGAGTGTGATGGCATTCCATCTATGCAGAGCCAAGGAAGGCAAGCTCACGGATGCGCAGAAGTGGCTGGAGACAGAGGGGCTCAAGGCCGGGAAGGGGCGAGACGCTGCACGGCAGGGACACGTGGTACAGCGCGAAACAGCAGGTGCTGCTGTGCTAGTGGCTGCCAGTGCTGATTTTGCTGCTGCTTCTCCTCCTTGTCCTCCTCCTTCTGAACCGCCTCCGACCCCATACTAATTCAATGGTACTAACAACCAATAACAACAATCACAATTTAAATGACGTTGGTTTGATTTCCCCCTCTTACACCGGAAGCTTCAGAGGCCGGCAAGCCGGAGTTTGAGGCGAAGCAGAAGGAGCTTCAGGCGGCGATCAACACCGTCTCTCGGCCGTGTTCGGGAACCATGATGTGTGTATGCCCAGGATTCACTAGCTTGTCGACACGAAGTGGAGAGGCATGTCGAAGAAGATGGTTGCAGATGTTATGCGTTCCCCCACGTATTATCAATTGTTGGCCACTGTTGGCCATGTCTTGAACAAGAAAATCTAGTTGCAGAAGCCATGGTCAGCCCGAATACTTGCACGTCAATGGTTTCTGTGCATCGCTTCAGCCTTCGGACCTTGGATCTTGATTTCTAGTTGTTTATGCGTGTGCCTGGCAAGACTTCAAGACGATCGGGCTGCATGGGCACCTTTCTCTCCCAGCCTCGTCGTACCACGAAATGTCAGCTTCCGAGCCGTAACACAATCACTGCCAGGCAGCAGTGAAAATCTGAACTTGAAGCATCTAGCAGACCATTCGCAGTGAACTGTTGGGCTTACTCGGAGGATGAGGTGACTTCGTACGCACAGGTTCTAGTCTAAAGCGCCACAAATCGAATGAGCTCTTTGGACTGTTTGCTGTGGGCCAAGGTCATGCTGCGGATCAACAGGGCCCAGGCTGAATTCTGGGACCAACAGGCTACTGTGACTGTGCAAGGGGTCCGGCTGGCTAAGGAATTGAGAGGCTTGTCTCTTCGAGTTGAAAGTCTAATAGACATGCGGTGTTCTATTTGCTGGACTATGCCATTGGCCTCCAGCAGGAAGTGTGTTGCGCAGGCTGGTAGGACAAGCCCCGATAGGACGTGAAGTATTGAGCTGCTTTGTTCTGCCGATGCTTTCCCACAGCCTTAGAAAGCAGATGTTCGGCCATTTGAAGGCTTTTGTCTTCTCATCATGCAAAAAACCCCGAGGTTGTGCAGCATGAGGGTGAGAAGAGCATTGCCGACGGGGGTTTCATCCTTCAGTGCGGCGTGGACATCCGTGACCTGATTGAGGATCCTCAATGATCTGGCACCCCGGGCTGCATCTCAAGCCGTCTTCAACATTTTATGCAGGCACGTACAGCGGTGCTGTTGAATTCACAGGCACACAATTGCGGTTCCATGCTGTGTCAAGTATCTGCGGACGGCTGTATTCCTCGAGCCCCTCGAGAGCATTTCAAGCAAGGTCGACAGGTTGTGGCAAGATCAAGCACACCGAGCGGGTTCTACTGTCGTAGCCTTGTTTTCGTGTCGGGATTGGGGAGAGTCGGGAGAGTACTTTTAGTGCATACTTAGGTTCTCACTCAATGATGCCTCCACCGAGAACACATCACAACCCAAGTCCCTCGCACACATTTGAGGCAACGAGCAACACACAGCTCAGAACGTGCATAATCGCAAGAAGAAGGGTGCCCTAGCCTGACGCATTTGAGAGCTAGTTGAATCGACTTGCTAGGTCTCGAAGATTCGAAGAATTCCCACCTCAAGATGGCAAGCGAGCTCTGAGTACGAAGAGGAGGACGTAAAGGGGGTTTAGGGTTTAGGGGAGGCTGCAGCAAAAAGCTTGCAGCTCCATGATCACCCGTGATGGAAGGTCGGACACACATGACTCACATACGTCTTGTGGTCAGATCTGTGAAGACGTCGTTTAGTCAAACCGAGGCTGAGTAAATACGACAAATTTCCAAACATCGCTTACTGTCATCGCTGGGCTCTCCGGATTTGGCAGCACCGGCCTATTGAAATCACTGCGAAGTGAAGACCACCTTGCTGTGAACCAGCGCTTTTCCAACAGCTCCCAAGCTCCACCACTGTCCCTGTAAGGGGGACATATGCTTACAAAGATACATCACAAAGGGCTGCTTAGAGAACGTACTGCTGTTGGCACAGTCGGCATGCCGGTTTAGAAACGACCAAGCTTGCACATGTGTAACTAAAGGCAGGAACTTAGTCTTATTCTATTCATGTTCACCTGCCAAAGCCAAGTTTGGATCAAGCGTTCAGCGGGTCAGGATCCTCATGGTTTGCCATGAAGCCTTCTTTGCACATAGGCGACTCTGGCAAGTCCGACTGCGAGAGCCATAGATCCCAAAATCCCCTTGGAGCCCCCCCTATACCCGAAACCCCTAAACCCTGTCAAGTCGACCTTTAGTCTGTTTCCTGCTGCTATGGAACCTCGCCTGGCATGACCGAGTTGCGAGAGCGTACACCCTAAACATCCCTAAACCCTAAACCCCAAGTCTCCTTGGAGCCCCTCCTATGCTGCAAGCTCAAGCCCTGAGCCCTGGCAGCAGAGACGAGGTGTGGGACCCAGGCTCGAAAATGACCGGGACTCCGTAGTATGAAATATAAAAGATATGTAGTACTTCTACATCTTGTATACTTGATGCTATGGAGTTCAGGGACCTGTTCAAATTATGCATACAATATTCTCGACTACCTGAAGACATCAAAGCGCCAAAGAGCAACAGCACTGCACCATGAAGGCCAGCACAAACATAGTCCACCATACTGTCCAGCCATGAAATTGCGCTTCGACTCAGGGTTGCACTGCAAAGCATTGAAATCGAGGCCTGTTGCGATTCAGCTTCTCTTTTGCCAGACCTGGCATGCTGGTACCAGAACTAACGAAGGCCTGTCGCCCGTCGAACTTGAACCTGTACCCTGCCAAACGGATGTCCGCACATGTGCCGTTGGGAGCCATCTACGACGCAGATAATTTGCGTGTGTGTATGTATATATATATATACACATAGATAAATGCATATATACCGTCTATCAATCTATCTGTTTATCTATCTACCTATCTACATATCTGCTTTCTATGTTTATCTATCTACCGATCTACCTATCTACTCGTCTATCTATCTGTGTATCTATCGATCTATCTATCTACCTAATCTACTCTAATGTAGTCTGATCTGACCTGACCTAATCCAGTCTAATCTATTCTATTCTCATCTACTCTAATCTAACCTAACCTAATCTATCTAATTGTCATCTATGTACCGATCTGTCCATCTGTCTATCCATCTATCTATGAATGGATAACCGTAGACCCGAAGCCCAGCAGTGCTTCCTGCAGCGTTTGGCCCAGAGGGGCCCTTGCGGGCCCCCGGTCCGCGTGGGTTCCGAGCCATGGACCCGAGCATCATCCTCAACACCCTGACCGGCATCGATGCAGCATGGCTGTCAAACGGTTTAGGGTTTTGGGTTTCGACTCACACACTCGCACAAGCAGGGTTTTGGGTTTAGGTTTAGGGTTTAGGGTTTGGGTTTAGCGTTTGGGGTTTGGGGTGTAGGGTTGGGGCTGTAGTCACTATAGTGTACGATTTTTCCCCCGTCTACAGTCCCTGCACAAGTTGTCTTGGGATGTAGCCAATGTAGCCCCAATCTAGTATGTTCGAAATGAAATATTCTAAGTATCAAGGCTTCCGGGATAAGCGACCCGATCGGTACACGGATTTGGGATGTCGGTGGACGTGGCGGAAAGCAAAACAGCATCTGGCAGCTATGGCACCAGCACACGGTGATGGGGAGGGAGAGGTCGATGTTCAGGAGACCAGGAATCGGTAGGTTTCCTCTTGCAGAACCGGGGTCCCTACATTACCAGATCCCTGCAGACTGTTGACAAAGCCTGGGCAGCAAAGGATAGCATTCTGGCGACAGTTTTGGCTCAGCTCATGCAGAGCAAGCCAGAGCTTGCCCCAGGCCTCGTCAATGCCGCGGGGCGGCACTTACAAGCTTGCCTTTGCGGGCATGGCTTTCCAAGCTAGATGTTTACACCAGCTTCTCGTTGAGATGTGACGCGTCGGAGGCGACTCGCATCCGGCGTGGCAAGCTTTCGTACCGAAATCCGGAATCCTAAGAATCTAGGCTCCGCCTACTCCAGCTTCAATCGCAGGTCTGCGTTCCGGACTTGACCTTCGCGCCTAGCAAGGCCTTGACGGAGAAGCGCTGCATAGGCACCGTAGCGAAGCTGAACCCAGCACAGGCCTCGGTGCATGGCATTCGTGTATCTTCTATTTGGTCTTCCGCAACGACGGTGGTTCATGCACACACGTCGTCACGCATCTGTGACATGATAAGGCGATGGGTGTGGGCTTCATCAACTGCCCCGAGCTAAGTGCAGCACCTCGGACTGTAGCCTTTGGCCAGAATCTCTGATGCTCCAAATCCATAGCATATCCTGGGACGTAGTCATCTTGATGACTCTGCACCTACTGTAGAGAGCTATGATTATAAATCCTTTCGAAACGGTGGTGTCGAAGCAGCGAAATGCCGACCTCCTCGCGAAGATGAGTCCTTCCCCAATGAATCCTTCCCCAAAAATCAGGGCATAGCGACAAGGCGCGACAACAGGACAGCCCATGCATGTTCTTGTCCATTAATTGGCCCTTTCGCAGGTTAAGCTCCTTCTATGTCGTTTGAGAGGGGTTTCTGAAACGCTCCCTGAACGCCAAAACCCTCAAAAGCCTGCGATGCGAAGGTTTTTGGCTGCGACGTGACAGTCAAAGCACTTCAGCTTGGGGGCTTCGTCGAAGGCGGGGCCAACCTCAAACAGGAAACCGGAGCACGAAGGTGTAGAGTGTGTATCTATCTATCCATCCATCCATCCATCTATCTATCTATACTATATATATATATATGTATATAGATATGTGTGCGTGTGTATGTATGTATGGATGTATATGTATGTGTGCAAATATGAACGTGCATGTATGTACACACACACACACATACAGATAGCTCTCTCTTTCTGTCTTTCTTTGTCTCTCCCGCTCACTCTCTCTCCCTCTCTCTCTCCTCTCTCGCACTCTCCCTGTGCTGCCTTCTACGGCGACCACGGCATGAAACGGTCCCTGGCATGACTAGGTCTGAAGCGCATGCAAGCACGAGAAGATTCCCCAACACACACGCCGGACATGCCACATCCTTCTGAAAGCAGCGTGCAATGAAACATCTAAGGCTGGCATAGAAATATAGGTATGAATGATAAGTACATGAATAAGTATATACATATGTATACACATATATAGATAGGTAGGTAGGTAGGTAGATAGATAGATAGATAGATAGATAGATATATGTACATATATATATATATATGTATATTTCTATATACACATATCTGGGCTTGTTGGGCACGTCCTGCTGCTGAAGGACAGGAGGTCAACTTCGCCGTGACTTTGAACGATGAGAACAAGCCTCAGGCCTTTGACTTGGCAGACAACAAGACGGGGATGAACGGCCAAATCGGGTGCATGGGCTGCGGAGGGATGCCTTCCATGGGGGACATGGGCCCCGGTTGTGGGATGGGCTGCGGCATGGGCGGTTGTGGCTGTGGCGGCTGTGGCTGTGGCGGGGGCTGTGGTTGCGGCTGCGGAGGCTGTGGCTGCGGCGGGGGATGTGGCATGGGGGGCTGCGGCTGTGGTGGCTGTGGCTGTGGTGGTTGCGGCTGTGGCTGCGGAGGCTGTGGCTGCGACGGTATGGGTGGCGACATGATGGGGATGATGCCGCCTCAGCTGCGTCCTGAATTTCACGGTTCACAGCAGAAAATATGAGAAGCAGATATCTCCAGCACTACGTTACATTTTATTTCAAGTTACTACGCCTGTTCTCTTTGGGTCTCTCGCAGCTGTCCCGAGGAATGGGCCTATGGGTGGCATGATGGGAGGTCCGAAAGGCGGTGGAAAAGCCAATGAAGAAGTCATTGGCCCAGCATGAAACGGCGAGACCGGCTTGTGAGACTTCATGAGATCTTGAGCCAACAGTAAAGTGGTCCTGTTGACGCTAGCCACTAGCAGGGTCCTCGGCAGAGGCTGGCACTGCCAGCGTTGTCTGACCTACACGGGATGGCAGGACTACGACCTAGCACGTGAGTCCTGCATCCGGTTCCCAGAGCAGGGAGACATCTTCAGATCACCACATGTACAGTATGTGTCTTCTGACCCATGATAGCCCACGGATGTTTTGCCATCCCAGGTCCTAGGAGAGTTCTATGGGATCATCAAGAGCTACAACCCCGAGAAAGGCTGGCCTGGGCCAGCACATGTTCTCACTGGCTGTATGGCAAGCCCTAGGGCTCCAGTTACCTAAATAGTGGGTTACTAACCATATATTATGTACCCCAGTAACCTACTATTTAGGTAACTGGAGCCCTAGGGAAGTCTTGCATGAATTAACAACCCCCAGAGCTCCATGCAGTTTCCCAAAACTAGAGAGCGAGAGATCTATTGGAACCCGACGGCATGCTCTGCGCTGACACCATCCAATCCCTCCTTGCACCTTTCACATGCATAGTTTGGGATACTTCGTTGCAGGCTTCGGCTTCATTGCCTGCGATGCGCTGAAGCAGCAGCACGAGGGCGATGTCTATCTCAATAGCAGGCTCGGATTTTTGTGCGTTCTCAGAAACATATATACCGATGTAATTTCTTTGTTTGTGTGCATACGTTTTCATATTGAGGTGCAAACTTTGATCAACATAGGGCACACACGCACGTTTTCCCATACAGTCGCATACCTACTCGTGAGTGATCTTGCAGGGAGCTGTAGGACTCGCAGTTTTGGTGTTGTGGTGATAGGAACACAACAAGACATGTTTTTTCGTATGTGCAGGAACGGCCTGAAAAGTAGAGGCTTTCCCCAGCAGCCTGAATGCTGCAAGCATGCATACGTGCCTACAGCGAGCATCAACCATGCCCTTTCTTCCTCCTGCTGTTGCTGAGCAGTGTGCTACTCTCTTGTTCGATATCTTTGTTGGTTTTCGTTTCGTTCTGCATACCGGCTGCTGTTGTTGCTGCTGGTGTTAAGCTGCAGTGCAGCTGGTCATCGTGCTGGACGACGGAGGCGCAGTTGCGGCAGCGCTGGTGATGGCAGCATTAATTGACTGTATCTGTTCGTCGTTGCTGCCATGCTGCTGTTGCTGCCCGTGGTTGGAAACTCTTTGTGGGCGATATGAGCTCATGATATAGAGCAGCTTTGAAGTGGAGTGGAGTGAGAGTCCTGGGACGATGTCAGGCATGTGGGCGAGTTCAAGGTTGGCCAGGAGGTGAAGTTCCTCTTCACGCACGTAGCCGTGGTTTTCAGAAAACGAATGGAAGACAGGGTATATTAGTAATTAGGGAGTCTAATTATATTTATTAAGGAAGCTTTCGGCGAAGAAAAGTGTTGGGAGTTGTAAGTAGAAAGTAGGCATTCTGTAAGAGGCGTTTCCGGTGACAGAGAACCCTGTAGCGACCATGCAGGCCCATGATCGAGAGATGAAGGGCAGCAAGGTAACTAACACACACATATATATATATATATATACATAGATGGATAGATAGATAGATAGATAGATAGGTAGATATCGGGTTCGTGATATTGAGCGCCGCCTTGCGGTGAGGGCTGTGGGGTTTTAGGATTTAAGGCATTTCGAGCTGTTCGAATTTCTATGGTTACAGGGTTGTATCATGGGTGCATGGTTGGGTGGTTACGGCCTTGCCCTGAACCCTATAAGCTCTAAACCCTAAACCCTAAATGAATCCCATACCCTACAAGTCGGGTACTGCCCGAGAAACAGTTGAGTTGCTGAATTTCATAGTTGGGATTACCAATACTACTATGGCCTTGTAGTCTAGTCTAGCCCAAATCCCTTGGGACATTTTCAGGCGCCTACATCATGAACTTCAGAATTCCGGTTTGTTTCCTTCCTAGGCCGGTTGCTTTTGGTTTTTGCGGCCAGATGTGGGAAGATGTCCTAGATGGATGTTATAAGCTTTTCACAAAGTTCCGAGGCTTCAAGAGTGTAGGCCGACACCCCAGCCAAGGTTTCAAGCCTTCCTCCATAACGGCCGGCTACAAGGCATGGATCGGAAACAGACGTTCCCTTTTGCTTGCTGTGGTGCTGTTTCAGTGAGCCCGGAGGTAACGACAGCAAACAAGAGAAATGCACACCCCACCGAGGCTCACGCACAGGCTTGCGGCAAAACAGGACCAATAGCTAGCTGCACTAGCTTGCCCGAGAACAGCACCCTGCAGACGGCATCGCGACAACGCTAGCGGCGACGAGAGGAAACATAAATCGGTTTGCCGTCGGGTGAGCACCGGACATGGATCGGCCATCTCAGTGTCAGCCTTGAGAGGGTCGACAATTTCTGTAGGTGACCCTGAATTCCTTACGGTTTACCTTCTTCTCCTCTCCTGCAGGCCGCGTTCGTCATCAGGCTACCCTGAGCCCTAAAGCCCGAGTCCTCACCGATTTAGCAGCGTCAGCCAGGATCTGAACCTCAGATCTAGGGACCTGCTGGGGTAGGCTTATAGTCACCCTGAGACCTAAGCCGAGACCTAAGCCGTAGTCGGTTGCCATGACATCGCCTAACTGTGACTGTCATTGGCAGGTCGAGAGCTCCAGGTACCTCAGCTGCGCTGATGACATGTGGGCGTTTCAGAAGACGAGGGGTCCCTTTGTAAGGCTATCTATAACTTATCCCTAATATTTCGGGTTGGGTCCCTTATGTTGTGAAACTCGCATGTCTGTTGATAAGCTGTCATCTTGATGCTGATGTTATGACATGGTCTTGGGCATGTCGCTGTGTCATGATAGATGGGAACCTTACAGCTCCCCCAAGCTGCTCGAAACAAAAGATCCTCCCTTTGCTTGAACTTGTTTTGTCGGTCCATTTGGACAGTAGCTTGAGGAGAGACCCCTTGTTTAACCATATCACAGAACCGCAAAGGCCTAAAACTCGAAAGGCCCCACTCTGCCCTTGCTAAGTCAGACTCGAAAGACTCAAAGATGCCAAACCTGAAAGCAGACTGCCTAGAGTCTAATAGGCTTACAGTATAGCATGCGTACTTATAAGACCACGTATAGTACCTATAAGACTATCTAAGACCTATATGAGATCCACACCAGGAACTTCAATCCGTCGATAGACTCACCTAACAAGGATGCCACGGGGCTTGTGGGCCCACAAAGTGGCGCAGCACCTGGCTTTGCAGAAGAGCAGGTGCCCAATCGGAAGCAATGTTATGAGAATCTTCGCAACATGTCCAGCCATGCAGGAGGTGAAAATCATGCTCGGGTCCGAAGAATTCGTCCAGCATATTCCGCGTAGCAAATAGCGAAGGGTACAAAGATCCTGCACCTTACAGTCTTAGGTATTTAGATCTCCAAATAAATCTGGGCCCAGCGGGCTATGTCTGGTGCATAGCTTGAGGATGCTTTAGGCATGCGGACGTGTTGCTCCCTTTTCGACGTTTGCGCGCGGGGTTTGGTGAAGTCTCGTGGTTCATGCGAAGACATGGTGCTGGTCAGTCCTTATCCGTCCGGCCTCTCATGAAACAAGTGTTGGCACTGCCTGAAGTTTTTGCAGTCTGCTACCTTCGTTGTTGTACGTTGCTAGTCTTTCTGCCTGCTGCATTTGACAAGGGGCGGATCATTCGATCTCTCGCGTTCGTGCACCATCGACGGTGTTGTCGCGAACATCTTCGACATGCTTCCCTAAAACTTCTCCAACACCTCCGCCCCATCATGCCCCCATGCTCGTGTCACCTTGTCCCACGTCCCACGACGACGACAGCAGCTGCTATTGCTACTGCCGCACAAATGCTGAAGAGCACTAAAAACTAAATGTATGTTTCGCTAGAACGGCAGGAGTATAGAAGTCGTCGCAACAACGCTGGCCTGCCAGTTATGCCTTAATGTTGGCATAGAAGAACCAACATTGCAAATTAAGCTGCAGAAGGCTCCGTTGTTGGTGGTAGAAGAGGAGCGAACAAGCAAAGACAAGTGCAGTCATAGTTTACGACATTGACCGAAGAAGTAGGGCATATACAAACACAGAACTATAGAATGGGAATCGGCAAAGCTCTCGGTCGGTTGCTCCACTGCTTGAATGAAAAGCAGCTGGCCGACTTTGTGCCAGGAGCTGGGTGTCTTCACCGGGAGGATCAAGAACTTCCATCAGGCGATGGCCAAGACATGGCCGCAAACACTGCAGTCTAGTATGTCGTCACACAAGAGTACATGCAAAGGTATGTGTCTAAGCACATCTATATATATATATACATATATATATATGTATGTATGTATGTATGTATGTATGTATGTATGTATGTATGTATGTGTACACAGAATGCATATGCAGATGCAGAGATGTATGTACACACACATATATATATATATACATATGTATATATATATACACATATAATATACAAACTTATTATCAGTGCACATTCATACATGCACAGGAGTCACACAGACATTGGGACAAAGAGACAGGCACTCCTACATACACACGTAGGTACATACGTACATATTTACAGACATATTATGTACGTACATGCATACATATGCATACACACATTCGCCCCTGGGTGCCACATCTTGTGGTAGCGGAATTCGCCTTGACCGCACGCCGTTTGCGTTTTTGCGTGCATGTCTTCGACATGCTGAATAGTGCGCAAACTGCAGCTTCTGAGAACCCGGTACTTAGGGTCGTGTAGTAGATCATACGATAAACTGCAGATATTTCAACCCCGTGTCTCTGGCATTGGTATTTGGGCTCGGCGTGCATACAAATTTCAATTGTTTACGCTCTAGGGGCGGGTGTGGGCCGTCTGGTCATTGTTGTGAAAGGCAAGAAACGTTTCGATTCCATGCCCTGTCGCTTCCTTCACTAGTCTGTATGGTGTACACAGTACTACAAGTGCTCAGCTGACAAGAAACTTCAAGTTCCCATGGCAGGACAAAGGCTTCGGCTTCATTGTCTGTGAAGCACTGAACATGCAGGGCTTCCAGGGCGATGTCGCTCGGCCTGGATATTCTGAGGATTTGGGAGTTTCAAGACGAGGTTGCAAGGTGCTGCAACGGAGAGCCTGACGGACACAAACAGCATGATCTTGGAAACAGTATGCTTCAAAGCCATCTAGGGGTTGCTTCACAGCTAGACTTCAGACAGCGAATCCCAAATCAGCTTCGAGCAGCACGGCATGCCCTTCCAAGGTCTTCCTGCATCAGAGGCACAAGGGAGAATTCAGGGAAGGCGATGTCGTCGCGTTCATGGCCGTGCTCCGAAACGGAAAGCTCCAAGCCAAGGACCCGTTTAGCACTTTCACCGTTGCTCCCACTCGTTCATGCAGTCTGCAAGGACCTCGAGCAAGCACCCCCAGGTAGCGACGGAGGCCTAGGCATGGGCGGCGGCATGGGTCCAGGTCCCATGGGCTGTCCAGGTCCTATGGGAGGCCCGATGGGCGGTCCATGCATGGGTGGGCCCATGGGCGGCCCCATGGGTGGTTGCATGGGCGGCCCAATGGGTGGCCCTATGGGCGGCTGCATGGGTGGGCCTATGGGTTGCGGCAAGGGCTTCGGGGACAAGGGCAAAAATGCCGGCCGAGGCCCCTATTGATTCTGATCTTTCCCATCCTTCTTCAGTCTCCTTGCATGCAGAAGAGTGCGACGCAAACATGCGCATGAACACTCTTTAATGTGCCAAGACAGCCAGAGCATCATGCATGATTATCATGACGAGTTACCAAACCTTCGTCCGTCTGTTGCATCTGCGTGGAGCGGATTGAAGGGACTCAGCTCGCCAGCTGATTCTTGTTTAGCCCGGCATGGGCTATGCTGAGAGTACTGCTGTACACCAGCTAGAACTGCAAGACCCAGTCGAGTTGAAATTGCCTGCCGAACAGCCTCACCAACAAGCCTTGATGATTGCCTTGTAACCCATTGTAACCATTCAGCCCTGGTTCTCAGTGAGTACAACACGTGATTCAGGCTGCTGATTCAGCAAACTCTCAGGAAAAGTGGCCTTGCCAGAAATGCCACCCACGTCGCCTAGCGAGCGATCCAATGGCGCGTTCAAGGTTTCAGGTTTTGGTTTCACACCTCAAGAGATGCGGATGTATGAGCAGTTGCAAAGGAAAATGTTGCGAAGAGTAGAGCCATCAGAACTCCGGGCGTTGCTGAGCCACAGGATGGGTTCATTGCGACTGCACCACACAGGTTTGAGTGATCGGGCCGCCTAGACCTGCCAACTAACTGCCATCCATCAGACTCTCTCTCTCTCTCTCTCCCTCTCGGTCTCTCTCCCTCCCACACTCCCTCTGTCTCTGTCTCTCCCTCTCTCTCTCTATGTATATATTCCCGCCATAATGAAGCCTCTGTTCTAGATGCCGGCAAAGTTTTGGTCTAGCAGAGTTTGACCTTCTGATTTGATGGTGAGCGCCCCCCACATTCTTAAAGGTGGGATGTCTGCTATGAGCTGTAGGCATGCTGAGTCAGAGACGCCCTCGGTTTCTGCAACGAGCCGGGCACACAACAAGACACACCTTTCATGGAGGATGTTGGCCACCAGATAGTAAACATACATTCGGATGCCCTGGGATTTATCGCTACCACTGCGTGGATCAAAAGTAAGTTTCAAGTGAATTACTTTATAGACCTATGTAGACCCTAGACGGCCCTTTTTCAGATGGACCTCAAGCACGATGACCTGCAATGGTGGGAACAGTCAGACCTCATAGATCCCCAAACTTGCCATCATCTCTTCGCGCACGCTTGCTCAGGCTTTGCTGCACTGCCCCACGGCCATGTCCGCGGGAAGCCGAGCATCTGGCCAGCGAAGAGAGTCTCAAGAAAGGTCTGCTCATTTGTTGGCATAGAGCTCCCGCAGCCTGAAATTGAATCTCAGTGGTTTCACATCTTCCGGGCCTCCTGGCGTGGGGAGGCGCGAGTTAGTTCCAAAGAGAACTTCAAGCGTTCCGGTGTCGTGTGCACTCGATGGGGTGTGGTGCATCGCAGCAGTCGCACCAATCCTCTGCAGCCGTTGTGCCTGAACCTGCGCCAAATCACCAGGCTCAGGACGAGGCCGCAGCTCCGGCTGCTCCTGTCAAGACCCAGGCAGCATCAGGGGTGGCTCCCAACCAGCAATCTGAGGCCGCTACTCCTGTAAAGACCCAGGCCCCATCGGCCGTGGAAGGGGTACAGAATTTCGATCCTTTCAAGGCCGCTGTGGAGCGCAACGCGCAGTATGTGAAGGAGCATAAGCTGTTGATGGCCTCTCGACAAGATGAGCAGAGTCAGGTCTTCAAGATCGAAGCAGCATTTAGATCCCTGGACAAGGACCACAGCGGCTTTCTCGATGAAACGGAGGTTTCGCAGGGGCTGCAGAACGCTGGCATCGATCCTCCGGCCGACATGGCCGCTTTCATGACGGAGGTTGACACAAACAGCGACGGCAAAGTCGACCTCACCGAGTTCATCCGTGTGGCAGGGAAGCTGCTGGACCCCGGAATGGGCAACGCACTGAAGTCTCATGCAAACCACCGGCGCTGGATGGAGATGATCGCACAAAGCTCAGGAATCCCTCATGTACCAACAGTGAAGGGCGAGGCAGATGGCGAGGTGAAGGAAGCCGACCGTCAGAACGTCGCAGACCTGATGAACTCTCGCAGTTGGGATAACTTGTACGACCTCTTTGACGACAATGTGCAAGCAGCGTTCCCGAAGGACCAGTATCTTCAGGCCATGAATCATTGGGTCAGAAGCAACACCGTGGTTTCGCTTCCCGGCGGCGACGAGGGCTACTGGTTCAATTACTTACTCACAACCGAAACGGTGGTCTCCGTCTCGAAACTAACCATCGCATTCATGTTGGTGAACGGTAAAATCATCGGCATCAACCCAGGAGCCCAAGCGGAATCCATCCCTATTGAGGACCCACACAGTGTTAAGTACGGCGTGTATTTTGATACACAAAACGCCACACCGCACCACAACAAGTGGCACTCAAAAATCGGTACTGGAGACGAGTACCTTGTTGTTTGGCCGAAACCGTCGGCGCCCCACCAGAAGTTCGAGATATTCAGCTTCTACCTTGAACGGGATGGACAGAAGATTGATTTGGAGATGCTAGATCTGACGGAGGAAAGTGCTGAAGTGCAGCCGCCTCACAACCACGTACACGTTGCGAAGGCTGTTGGACCCGGCACGATCATCATCGAGATCAAGTATGTGCACCTGCCGCGGCGGGTGGAAGTGTACAACGAGGCCACTCCGCAGAAGTACTTTGTAGAGGACACGCAGCCGCTGGAAGAGCAGTACAAGCCCAAGCTCATGCCACACGGGGGAAAGTGGCAAGAATTCTGCATGAAGGGTGACCTTACGTGGCACAAGGACACGGAGAACATCATCATGTTTGCGCAGCGCGCATGGAAGCACATCGCGTCAAACCACCGGTACGACAACTCGGCGGAGACTTCGGCACGCATGACACTGGACGACATCGTGGAGGGCGGGCTATCGCACTGCGTGCAGCGGTCGATCATGTTCAACACGGTGATGACGGCCAACGGTATCGACTCTCGCTACAATGTGACGAACGCACATACATTTTCCAATATCCTTATTCCTGGCTGTGGCTGGGTGCCAATGGAGCCCACGGGAGACATATGGGACATGTGCGATAACTGTGACTGCAACGACCACGTGATCTACATCGGCTCGGTCCCGCAACTGACCCTGAACACTCTGGGCATACGCGACCAACTGCTCGCCGAAGCAAAGAGTAAACTCACGCGGTGCTTCAATGAGAAGGACGACCTGAAGGGCGAGATCGGCGATGCCTTGATGGCATACTGGCCGACCTCGTATGAGCAGTTCAAGAACTTCGGCAATGTGACTTTCGTGAAGGAGGGTGTGTTTAAACACACGCTGGGCCCGGACATCCTGCCAGCATGGATGGGTGTCACCCCGCCGCCTGTCGTGTACCTTGTCTGCACGTTTGCGAATATGGGCGGCAAGCACTTCTGCTTCCAGCTGTGGCTTGACTGCGGCAAAATCACCGGGATGATGCTAGTCAGCCCGGAGGAGTTCGACAAGAAGGCGGCCGAGAGCGAGGCCGACCCGACACCCGCAGCCAAGGGCTTCGGCGGGAACAACCCGCACCTGATCAACTTGAAGCTCGGGAAGGACAACAAGCCAGCAAAGTTCTACTGGGAAGACGTGCTCGCATCGCCGGGCAAAGTCCAGCTATCACCCATTGAAGCCTGGTCGAACCAGTTCGGGTACAACTACGAGTAGCGAAAAAGCGGCGCGCGGAGAGGTTGTAAGAGAATGCCAAGCAGGCAGACTACAGAAGCACCCTCTGTTTCGGCTGGCCCGTACTGTGGTTTCCCAAGTGACAAACAACAACCTGAAAGTTCAAAGGGCCGGCCCCGAAGAAGTCTATGTATGTATGTATGTATGTATGTATGTATGCATGCATGCATGCATGCATGCATGTATGTATATATATATGTATGTATGTATGTATGTATGTATGTATGTATGGATGTATGTATGTATGTATGTATGTATGTATGTATGTGTGTAACTGTATGTAACTGTATGTAACTGTATGTAACTGTATGTAACTGTATGTAACTGTATGTAACTGTATGTATGTATGTATGTATGTATGTATGTATTGTTATTTTATGTTATGTTTTGTTTTGTTGTGTAACGTTATGCTATGCTATGTTATGTTATGTTGGGTTATGTTATGTCGTGCTATGTTATGTATTGTTGCTTCGCATGAACCGCTGTTAAGGTTTATGATGGAGTGTTTAGTAACCCGCTTCTGCCCATCATACCGCGAGGTCGCGGCAACTTCTGCTTGCACCACACCTTGGGACGCTTGTGCACATCAGAGGCCGCCCGGTGAAAAAAAGAAGCGCGACGCGCTTGGGTTCGTGGATGTTGAATGGAACCATGGCAGTTCTGTTTGAGTGACGCTTCTGCTGCACCCTAGCCGACGTGGTCCGATGCTTTGGCGAGTCTCGAGCTGTTCCTATCGTCGGCCGTGGCCCAGCAGAGCCCACCGGAATGGTGCAGAAAGTAGCTTAGGGCAGTCTTTCCTTCGACGCCTAGCGCCCCGCCATGAAGTACCTGTGGCTCCTCTTCGTGGTGGCCGTTGCGGATGCGAGCATACGCTGGTTGCCCGCAGCGACCAGCGAGGAACCCAGTGGCATGCCAGCAGGACAGATGATCATGACCGTGATGGTGATCTCATTCCTTGCAGCCCACGCCGCTGTGTGCTGCTTGACCAGGAAGTTAAATTCTGAAGCGTTCAACCACGTGCAACGTAGCAGGGGGATTGAGGGTTGCTTCCAAAACATGGAAGAATCTTGTCATGCTCTGGACGAAAGATTCCCGGACTTGGGGTGCTCTTGCACAGAGTGTGGTGATGCTAGGAGGTGGTCACCATCACCATGACCACCAGCAGCACAGACAGCACTGGCATCATGATCATCATCATCATCATCAGCAGCATCATCGTTATCATGCTCATCATCATCATCGTCATCATCATCATCACCACCATCATCATCATGACTGTTGTTATGGCTAGGATAATGATCTGGTTCGCATGGCTTCTCTTCATGTCATATGGTTTTGCGAGGTTTTGCGTGCTTGAGAGCACCCTGAGGTTGGCATTTCCACAAGCGACGCCACGTGGCCGACTTTTACAAGCAGGCGATTGCAGAAGCCGGTTCGTCGACTACGGTGCCTCGGCCAGCGTACCTGCTGTAAGAAGAGTCTTTCACCATGACTTTGCTGCCTCCCATTTGTTGTGCGGTTCCTTGGGCGCCAGCAGCCAGCCAAGCCTAGCTTCGAAATTTCTAGTCTCGGAAGCAATCCTACCCGGAGCTTGAAAAAATGCACATGCTCCGCAACTCCAAGGACTACTACACCGTCGGTCCGGACAACGAGCCCATTGAGCATACCTGGCGTCGAAGCCGTGTTTACGGGGTTGGTGGGCATGTAGCGAACCGAAAACATTGCCAATAGCCTCTTTGACTAACTTAACAGCATGTATGACCCATGCCAGTGGCATGACACCATGATGACCCAGTTGCGAAAAAGGTAAGCAAGATGCACACTAAGCCCCAGGGAGCAAGAGAGAGCGAAGCAAAGGATTCCAAAGACACAGCCAATGACTGAGAAACCAAGCACCGTCAACTCACTCGCATGAATGATTCAAGCGGAACCTCCGGGCTTAGTAGAGAAATACACCGGGTTTGGGGTTCAACGGCCCTGGCGCTCCAGACCAGAAGCCCCAGGCACTACATGGTGCGTCGGCAGGCCGGGGACATTGGTGTCAAGGCAGACCAGCTTCCCGGCCGAGAATCCATGTATCTGTGTATGGTTCTGATTTAATCTGATACCGCAGGCTCACCAAATCAGGTCCCCGTCCCGTCACATTCCCGTCTCATGGGTCTTTGGATACATATGACAAAGTGAACAGGCCTGCCAGCTTCACTTTGCACATATGTGTACATGGACAGTTTATGAACATGTAAATGTAGATACATACGTACATCCAGGATCATGTACATGGTAGTATATGTACCGGTAGTCTCCATTGTCGACTCTGTTTGGGTTTCCTTATGGGATCCTAAATGCAAGATTACAATGGAGGCTACGGGTACCTAAGACCTCTTATAAAAAGCCTTATAGAACCCTTTAAAGGAACTACAATGGATAATCATAAAAAGCCTTATAGAACCTTTGAAGGAACTACAATGTATAATGATAAAAAAGCCTTATAGAACCCGTTAAAGGAATTACAATGGATAATTATAAAAAAGCCTTATAGAACCCTTTAAAGGAATTACAATGGATAATTATACAAAGCTTTATGGAAGCCTTTAAAGGAACTACAATGGATGACCCGGAAGCTTCCTGAGGTTTCTGAGACTGTCGGCGCCTTCGCTGATGCAAATGCTGCTGCCATACCTATGCTCCTTGAGCTTCCTTTGACTTGGTTTGGCGCAGGGTTGAAATTGAAGGTTTAAGGGTCCACTCCGGTTGCCGATCGTTTGTCGTAGTCCGGATGGAAGAATGGGGTAACACGGTCAAGGGGTCACGGTGTCGTGGATGCAGAGGTGAAGGATCAGGGTTAGTTTGCGTGCATGCGCTGCCTTAGACACAACAGTGAGGCCTCTTTGCACTTCGCCATGACCATCATGCGCCTGGGCTGTCGAGCATCGATACACTTAGTTCTGTCTCTTAGGCAGAGTAGTGGCCACGGTTTCGTGTGCAAGGTGACCATTGTACTGAAACGTAGCTGTTGGGGAGAATCTCGTTCTTGGTTTGCTGAGTCAGCACCAAGGTTTTCCTGGATTTGCTATATCTCCGACCGCGCCATGGGAATCTCGGGCCGCCCTGTGAACGAGAGAGTTCAGTCAGTGGGGCCTGTAACCCCCAACCCTCGCCTGGAATGCGCAGCGTAAAGGGCAGTCCAGGCTAGTCAGCTGGATTGGTCTTCAAAGCTGGGCCTATAGCCCTGATGAAAGCCATCTCCATCCAAAGCCCTGCAGTTTAACTCAAAACAGGAACGTGTACGAGATCATCGCTTGCAAAACTCGGCAGCAGAACTTTTTGGAGGAGCGACAGAAACAGGAAGGACTGAATTCGGTCCAGCCCCATGCCTGCAGCTAAACTAGACAGTTGTTGTCTCTCTCGCTTTTTCTGTTTTCTGTTTGTGCGTACATCGTACTTACTTTCGTATACATAGATGCAGATATAGGTCTAGGTATGTGTGTGTATATAGACAAATCACAGACATTTACATATATATATACGTGTATGTATGTCTGTCTGTCTGTCTGTCTGTCTGTCTGTCTGTCTGTCTGTATGTATGTATGTATGTATGTATGTATGTATGTGTGTATGTGTACGTGTATGTGTATGTATACGCATATGTGTATTTATATGTATATGTATATGTTTATGTATATGTGTATGTATATATGTATGTATGCATGTATGTATGTATGTATGTACGTATGTATACATTCTACTATATATGTTTTTGCTAAATATGCATGTGTACATCTATGTATATATATATATATATGTATATATATATATACACACATATATATATATATGTATAGATGTGTGCGGGTGTAGTGGTTGCTTTACGTTGGTTTATAAGATATAAGTTTACCGAGTGTGCAAACTACACTGTATCCGCGACAATGTTTATATCCTTCCAATACCCGGCGTTGTTTTCACTGACGCAACTTGAAGTGGGTATCGAACATCGACGGAACCAGAGTCCACAATGGCTTTGTTTTGGTCGCAAGGTCCCAGATGCAGTTGACACGGCGGGGTGCCCAAATACATGTATCCGACAGAGACTTTGCCTGTGGGAGGCACGCACACTCTCTCTCTCTCACTCTCTCTCTTTCTCTCTCTGTCTCTCTCCATGTCAAGCCAGCAAATAAATACAAAACCAATGATTGAACAAACATATGTGTATACACACACACATATATATATATACAGGTGTGTGTGTATATATATATATAGATAGATGTGAGTATCTATCTACCCACCTGCAGATGTGTGCATGTGTATGTCCGTGTGTCTCCATACTTGATTTTGTTGTGGGTGTGGGGCAGCTTTGCCGACTGCTGGTGATATCCCACCCTTGTCTGTGTTTAATGTATGCACTCTTTGTTTTTTAGGTCTTGTACTGCATTGAGCGGCCGGCCATCGCAGTGCACGACAGATTTCTGCTCCATCGACCTTTTGGGACTGTGAGCGCACACTGCCCCTGCTCGTATCGCTTAGTTAATGCATGCCCGCCTAAACTTCTGCGTCTGGGCAGACTCATTGCCCGAAGGCGAAAGCGATTGTATTGTATGTATGTGTGTGTGTGTATGTATGTATGTATGTATGTATGTATGTATGTAGGTCTGTACATATGTACATGCACACGTACGTGATCTCGTTGCGTATGTGTGCGTGTGTGGGTACAAACATATACATGCATACGTACATGCATATGTACACAGACATAAGTTTATGTATGTATGTATGTATGTATGTACGTATGTATGTATGTACGTATGTATGTATGTGTGTATGTAGGTATGTATATATATAATATTAATATATATATATATATTTCTTTATTTATTTATCGAGAGAGATAGAGAGGCAGAGACAGAGAGACAGAGGCAGAGAGACACAGACAGACAGGCAGGTAGCCGGGCAGGCAGGAGGGCAGGCAGGCAGGCAGGCGTGCATGATTATATAGACATACAGATGCATACTTGTGGACCTTTGATCTATATCATAGTCTATAGCTTCTGTCTGTGTTATCTGACTTGCAGTCCACAAACCGCCAGTTTAAGCTGACTCTTTCCAGCATGTCCAGTATCAGAACAGCATGTTGCTTATAAGAAGCAGCACGCCAACAGGCCTCGTTAGACCGTAGACCCTTGCTCTGCTCAAGATTAATTTCTCCTTGGCGTTGGAGTTGCTGAGCCTTTGTAGCGAGAACTGTAGCCTTTTGAAGTTATGAGTTACATTAGTGATCATTATTGTACTTCTACCGGTTGTTCGACAACTGCCCGGTTCCGGCAAAATCCGTGGCTCCAATCACCTATCTCTAGCTTATAGGTTGTAGGGGTCCTAAGCCTTTTCGCTTCTTGAGGTTTGTTCGACGTATCAAGCCTTCCGACGGTGACGAGACCAAGATCTTTGTCAAGCCACGCTTCGGGGCTTTCGGTGAGGATTGCTGCGCGCCTGTGCCGGAATAGTTGCGTTAGCTTGCTCGGTGTGCAACTGACAGAAAGCAAAGCCAAGGTCCCCTGCCAGAACAAAAGCCAAACAAGCCACTTAGGGGCCTGTACTGAAGGCTCACCCTTTGGAGAGATTTCGATTCAATAATATTCCGATGATTTAGGGGGGCCTGTCAGAAGCTGGGTACGGAAAGAAACCCGTCACAACCAATGGAATCCTGTTCGAAGTGTAGTCAGACCCTATATACTCCAGCAAGATTCAGCAAGCAACCCGGAAAATGCAGCAAGGGTCGGAATAGCGAGAAACACCCCAAACCGGAAAAAAAAGAGGCCCCTATGTCACCTACAAGCACGAAATACCAGGTAATGGCTTCGCAAGCAGCATTCCACATGTCGCCAAAGCGCGCACGGCATATGGTCTTCGAGGAGTTGCTGTGGCCGGGCACCGAATGGCCTCTGGGGATTTAGGTTAAGAGGTTAGGGCTCAGGAGGGTAGAAAAAGAGTTCGGGCAGATAGAGTTGAGGGATAAGCATTCCCAGGTTTGCGTCATTGGGATAGAATAGTCGTAGAGGAAGGCTCATACCGTCCCATGTAACACTGGGCATCTACTTATTTACTATCTGCATCTGCGTTTTGTACCTTTCCAGATGCCACAGTCCATGGTTGCGCGGTTGTTCCTGTGGCAGCTGACTCGAATACCTCCAGGGAATTGAACCTAATACCGTAGCATTGAGGGCTGGCTATAAAGCCTAGCGATATACTAACTTTCGGGCATGTCCGGATTGTTTCGAGATGTTTAATACGGGCCAAAATGTTGCAAGCAGTGACAAAAACGCTTGGGTTTACAACTTGCAGCCCATAAAATCGAACGGATGCAGTCTTGCCACGGCTGGGGTTGCGTTCCGTTTCAAGTGGGCGCGAGATGCCAACTTCCCTGCAAGGTCCCAGTGCTCTATACCTCCTGGCTTACAAAGGAAAAACCATCCGGTCATCGAGAATGTGGTTGGGGAGCAGGCGCCGCTGTGCACGCTGCGGATTTGGACATCGCAGCTTGTCTCCGCTTTGGTTCCCGTGAACACTGAATACTGCAAGAAGGTCATGCCGGAGGCCTACGTCGCAGCCATGTCTGTGCATATAGTGGCATATAGGCTCACGAGGGTTTGCGCACACGCACACGCACACGCACGCACACGCACACACACACACACATGCACATGCCCTGGCACTGGTGGGGCGAGAAAGGCCGCGAGCTGTTCCGCGATGCTGCGAGCGAGGCAGAGAGAGAGGGGAGCGAGAGAAAGAGCAAGGAAGTTGCAGCTTAGGAGAACCACAGCCAGAAGTGTTGTCCTTGGGGCCCCAAAGCCCTTCTCAAACTGACCAGCGAGCGGAACGCACGCTCGCATAAGCGCAATGTCCTCGCCCGAGGGACCTCGATCGAGCAAGAACACAGACCAGGAGGGAGAGCGAGAGAGAGCTCGTTTGATTCTCTATTGCCATCCCATTTGCGAGGCAGGGCAGGCCCGTTTTTTGCACACCTGACTATTGACAGCAATTAACCTGCAACTGAGGCGGTGGATCCCGAACCGACCGAGCACGCAAGCGGCTTTTTTGGTGGCCCGTAGCGGCTACATTAGCAGCTTCGGCACAGTCCAAATTAGGTTTATCGGGCCTGCCAAACCTGTGGGTCAAAGGTGTGGGGCTGTGTGGGGTTTCCAGCCTTTCACACCTGTCGAGCATCTGGTGGTGCCCGCATTAGACCGGGCATCGGGTCAGAAAAGAATGGTTGTATATCGTGAGCGTGTGCTACATTGCAAGAGAGTGGAGCAAACACTGCAATCACCCGGGGAGCTGTGTCGTTCAAGTTTCGTTCGGGCGCTTGGCAGTAGCTGATGCGGCAGTCTTTCGACCTCTGTTATCACGGTGAGCGGCCCCCAAGGCAACTGCAAGAAGAATGAGTGCTGCAAAGTCGACCTAAAGACCCAGACCACCGCCGTCAAGAGCAGCGAGGCCGACGATTGCCGGACCTGCACCGAGGAACAGCCTACCCTAAATCATGTCAAGTCCGACTCTTGGCGCCGCAACCATACCGAGTTTGAGAGCACCTGGGTCTGGACCCAGCATGAGTCGCAGACTACCGGAAGAGTAAGAGGTTACAGCATCAGGTTGAGTTGGTTTTCTTCGAGAGCCTGGGCCATCTTGCTTCAGATCTTTAAAGTGCTTGAGGCGTCTGTTGCGGTTAGTAGCACTAAAATAAAGGTCTGTTGAATCCGAGATGCTGCCTTTTTTGCAACCCGATGCAAGACATCAGCCTTTGTCGTTGGGTTGCTTGGCAGTTAGTCTACCTCTTCCATCCTCCTCTTGGTGGCCGACCTTTTCTCCACTGCAAATCCCGAATTGCACAGCCTCAAAGTTTCCCATATGGGTGTAATTCAGCCCCTAAAGTACCGGAATGTGGTGCCGGGCTTGTTTCGCGTCTTGCCTGCCTTCTGCGAGTCTGAGCGTCGAAAGTCCATAAAGCCTAGAAGACTCGGCTCTAACGCTACACTACCTATAGTCGCCAATGTAGTTCCTTTTTTCGGTTACCTTATGGGATCCTAGATACGAAGTTGTTTAAACCAAAAAAAGAAACGGCAATGGACACAAGTAACCCCCCAAGCCTCTGAGTTTGGCCTGTCACTCTGTGAGGCCACTTTTGTTCTCCCGTTCTTCCGGGAGGCTGGTCTCAGCTCGAGTTTCAGAAAACTCGGGTAGCTTGTGTAGGGGCTAATGCGACGCTTTACGTGTTTTATGCGTACATGTCTGTATGTAGTAAAGGTCTAGGTGTGTATAAACACCGAAAAACATTTTATATCTAGATCTAAATCTATATCTGTGTCTGTTGTGACATTGACATTCGTTTGTGGTGTCATGCATATGCGTCATATGCGTACTAAGGGCTAAGCAACACAATGGACATTTTTCATTTCCTCGAGCCTGGGCCCGTTGCCTTTGGTTGAGGCGCTCTTCACGGCAAACTGGGTCCACGACCAATTTCCCGAGGTGCGGGTGGTCTTCAGATGCATTGACAGGAGAGGCATACCGATTTCGGGATGGCCAAAGAGCTTGTTTTGATCATGACCCCGTGCACTATTGAATCACCAAAGCCTCGGGCGATGTCTGACGAGAAATGAGATGTTTTATGATCACGGCACTATTACGGCTTGGTTTTCTGGATTTTGCGAGCTTTTCAACAAGGCTTGCTGCAATCCGTCCGTCCATGTGATGTTGCGCACTGACCCATCCCATCCGGCAGCTTAAGACCACGCCCAAACACACAGAAGCAATCCTTTCATTTCCGATCTCAGCAGCTACTAAGGTGCCGTTTCTCGGCACAGACATCGCACTTACTCCTGCGGGAGCGGTGCTACTGGAAACAAACTTGCTGTGCAGCTACAGCATCTATTCGAAACAGGCTGGGGCCGGGTGATTGGCTGCTGTCATTATGTTACATCATACGGTGCTCTGTCTGCGACAAGTATATTGTACACAAGGCTAATTCGTGCATTGCACTTAGATCGAATGTCGCTTTGATGGTTGATTGCGGCGGGCTGCTTCGAGGCGTCAAGCCAAGATTAAACCCGAAGACCCTTTCGTTGTAGTGTTTTACGGTGTGCAGATCCATCTTGCCTTTGTCCATCTTGTGCGGATTCGCCTAGACGGGCTGGTACGGCCCTCAGATCAAGCCTCCACACCGACCCTCAGCCCACGGAAGAAAAATCCAAAGCTTCCGTCAAGCCTCATACGACATAATAATTCAGCTTTCGAAGCAGTCCCGAACTTGAGGACAAATCCACGACATGCGCCTATGCAGGTTTCAGGCAAGTTCAAAGCCATGCGCTCCTTAAGCAAGAGGTGGGCCTGGCATATGGGCTCGACGATGTCGAGGCCTTCCTGGCTTACCAGGCCAAGGGGTCACCTCTACGGGATTTTTAGGATTTAAAGACATTTGAAGGATTCTTGGGGCTGCCGGCAGACTGTGGTTCAAAATGGGTCCCTGCAAGAGTTATTACGAGGGCTGTTGTAAGGGTTAATATAGGCTTCAGGATTTAGTGGGTGAGGTGCGAGAGTTGGGTCGGTGTTTAGGATTCAGGCCACGGAATCACACAGTTCCTTGCAGTCCCTGCTCAACAAGTGTCGAGCAGCAAATGTGAGGTGGGAGTTGATATGGATTACCTGTTCAATACCGAGCGCGGAATCGGTTGCAGGAGTTGCAGGTCGCTTCAAGATAAATGAAGACACTGCAGAAGTTTTTTGCTACAAGTAGAAAAGAACGGCTCTCCAGCTCTGCCCTTCGAATGAGTCGAAGCCGTCGAAGCCCCAGAATTTGTGTGGCTTCTGCAAAAAAATGGAGACCAGGAAGGTGGAATGGAGAACTGAGTGGGGGTCGGGGGCATGGGCAACGGGTGGAGGCGGGCGAATTGAGCTGCAGAACAGTGACTTTTCCACCTCCACAAGAGTTCAGATGCATTGGTTATCTATGATCAAGTACCATGTTTCATATTGTTGCATGCATTTCTGGTTCTAGCGAGCCTGGCAAGAAAATGAACATCATGAGTTGCAAACCAGGCCGCAGATGAGAAGGTGGCGAACCTTTGAGCTTCCATGGGGGTCCAGCTGCGATTCTTCAATCTGAGCTTGGGTTCGTCGGAGAAGCCTAGGGTTAATAGGGCTTATAAGGGTTCAGGGTTTGGGGCTGGACATCTGTTTGCTTTGAGAAGCACAGCCTGTAGAGGGACAGCTGGGCCTTGAAGCGCCAAATTATTCTGTAGCCTGAAGCTCAATGAAGCTCATAGGGAGCTATGGAGGCGACGCCCGCCAAGCTAACTCGAAGCTGGCATGCTGACACTCGCTGGCGTTTATTATAAATTATTTAGGTTCGAGCGCCGTGTACACGCCTACACAACCGTTGTCTGGTCAGAAGGAAACGGATCGAAAGCACACGTTGCCGGGAACCCAGTTGCTAAGAGATCAGTAGTAACTAAATGGCTTGGCCCGAATCTACTATCTATCTATCTATCTATCTATCTATCTATCTATATATATATATATCAGCGATGTCAACAATGGCCAGCAGACGCATCAATGGCATTAGCACCAGCAACGTTGCTGCGGTATGTACGAGCGTGTTCTATTTATTTGTGCCATGTGCATGCTTCGCAGCAGTAATTGAAAAAGTAGTGTTCAGAAGGCTGATTTCCCAAGGACAAGACCGGGGTAGAAGCGGCTTCGCCTCCTTACATCTCTTTACTGTTCCAGCGTCGACGAGAATCCTTCATGTGCAAACTCCATCATACTCTGATCGTGAGGAAGTCTCGTCGCGTGAATTTTGAGTTTTCTGTGGAGGTCTCACATTTCAACACGCATAGCAGATCGTTTAGATTGGTCAGCGGTCCGTCATGTGCGATGCCGCTTCGCACCACTGCATATCAATGTATGCATTTGGGTCATCACTGGATCTTTCCTGCAATGTCGGTGGTTCACGAAGCCATCCCATGGACTTCTGTGGTACAATTATGCAGCTTAGAGAGCTACGGGAGTGCTCTGGCTTAGTTCTGTTGTCGTTCCTGTAGCTGATTGAATGCTGTTCGATGTCTATACTGCTGTCAAGGACTGGCTGACTAGCATTCCATGTGGCAGCTACTGAGTAGCACATGTGGCGTTCTAAGTTTGCAACTTCCTGCATTTATTGCGCAGCAGAGACGCAGCCTGCACAGAGCGTGCTATGACAACCAGAGCAAGGAGCCTCCCTTGGAGACTTGTCTAGATGCTTTTAACATGAACCCAAATCGGAATGCCCTTGTCCTCTTGGGCTCCATGAAAGGGAACACAGAGTGTCGAGAGCTGGGTGCTGTCAGGAGAGAGAGAATAGCTACTCGCAGCTCAGCATGCCCAAGGGGCTTGATTTAGGCACAGGTTTGGATTGCAGCTCCTGTGTGTTACCTTGGTAGCTGGGCCTTTGCGATGCCAAAGATCTGCACTGAGCCCATGGAGACAGTTTGTGGCATTCAATATGTCATCTGCCGGAACTCCGGCACCCCTGAGGTGCCCTCAGAATTTCGGAAGCTCCCCGGAATGGGCTACGCATTCCGGGGCCTAGAATAAAGAGTATCGTTGTGATTCCGGAGATGACCGTGGCACTGTACAACGAACCCGTCTGGGGTCGGAAGCGTACACTGAGAGACAGTGTGCCGGCTTTGTTGGGGCAGCTCCTGTGGCCTGCTGCCGCAGGGCACCCTTCCCGGGACTGAGGGGTCCAGCTCGCCTGAGGTCGCGTTTCCACAACTCGGACGTGACCTTTAGAAGCGACTGCAGGGAATTAGAGGAGTTTTGAGAGATTCTCCCGTTGCAGCACGGAAGCATGTGAAGTTTTGCCTGTTTCACCTTACAAATCACCCAGTTTTATGTGGATGTCCGCATGGGCACACGCACCCGGAGCAGAGATTGCTCCAGTCACATTCACAAGCAGCCCGACTCAAATTCAGCCCCAAGTCTTCCACCCATCCCCCCAAGTCTCATCTTCGTGGAGGGCAGGTGCTCAGTTCCAGGTGCTGGGCTTTCAACGGACGGAAGCGCCGAAACGAGGGAAATCCGAGCGTTGCTCTGACCAAGGGCTGGTCTGGGATGCGAAGTAGACTCGGAGGCTGCGCAGGGATATACTGGGGTTCCTATAGCAAGCCATGCAGGGTGCAGGTACCCTTGGCTTTGTTCGACCGTTTTCAGTTCAACAAGTGTCGCTTGAGACTCCTAGAACTGCACGTTTTATGGGGGTGTTTGTCATTTTCAGATTGAGGGTGCAGTCGTGTCGACCACCCTGTGCAGCTTTGGCTAAGGGCTTTGATTTGCTCCAGATGTCACGAGGCTCTTGGCCCATGACAGGAAGCATCAACCCTGATCTAACGTTCCTGCTTACACGCTCTTGAGGAACCATGTTGATGTGCCTTCCTGACAACTCATTCCCAAGGTTGGCTTCCCGAGGCGGTTTTGCTATTACAGGGCTTCTCCTGCCGACTGCTGTTAGCCATGGCCGCACTGCAGACTTCGCTGCGAGAGCAGCTGTTGAGGCACAGCTTCTCTGAGTAGAGGGACCTAGGAGTCAAAAGAGGTGTGTCCATGACTTAATTCTGGCTTTTGGCATCAGGTCTGAACGGCTAGTCGCTGCCGGAGAGCATGAATGACTCGTGTTCCATTCCACAGGGGTTCCTCTACAGGCTGTACCGACACCTGGGTAGCCAACAAGCGCTTCAAGACGGACCATATCAATGCAGTAGCCCTGGCTCTAATTTCAAGATGTTGCTGTCAGTCGGTAGGACTGGACGATGGCGTTTTGCCCTTTACCCGAAGCTTGCTGCACATGGAACACCCTGAGGGTCCAAGTACTCATTATTTAAGGACTTTGGGTACCAACAACCATAAATATGGACTACCTGGACCCTTAGGAGCAGTTAACAAGCTTCAGCTCTGCGCGCATCCCGCAAGGCCTGCTCACCTGCTACTCCTCTGGGGCAGCTTCCTGCTTTCGGCAGCGGCCTCTCCACTGCCTTTAATGTACCTAGAGTCTCCCTTGTGTAGTTCCGTTTTTTTGGTTTAACCGATTATATATTAAGGCTTTTACACGGTATCCCCAAAAAGGAACTACAATGGAGCCCATAGGTAGTTTTCTGAGTGCATGAAGTTCCGGGCATTGCCACTTTTGCCTCAGACCTTTAGCTGGACGACCGGCGCCCAACGGCTCAACGAAAGTCTTGCAGTGCACTCAGCGACATCTAATCTAGCAGCGCACTCCGGCAGAGGCCTAAAAGGCCGACACGGCCCGAACTCCCGCACAGCCCGACCGATAAGCCCATGCTTCATTACCCGAAGTCCTGACCTTCGTGAGGCACCAGGTGTGACCTTTCCATGAGTCTCGATTAAGCCTACAGGCTGCTATGGATGCTAGAACGAAGAACCAGCAGCTGGGGACAGCCGCGCGAACAGGGAACACGACACGTACCTCTTGAGTCGGACCGACGATGGTTGAGATCCAGAATCGTAATTTCTGGTCTCTTCCGTGGTTCTTACAGTAGACTCTTAAACTAAGCAGTTAAGCCACGCAAGGAACACTGCAACAGCACAACGCCCCCGTACGCATACACTGCGAGTCTGGAACAACGCCTCCCAACCTGAGGAATCTTCGTTTTCTGGCGTTTGGTACCTCGTTGATGTCAATTCCGTCGTCTGCCCTGGCTCCCCAGGACCGCGTGAGCAATTTTTTTGGTCGGTTCGGGCTTTTGATTGGGGACGAGTTGCCGAATTACCAAAGCACAGTGCCAGGACTGGGGGCGGTAGCATCTGCGAGCAGTCGCAATTGTACTTGTAGTTGTGCCGCTGCTACCACCATGGACACCACCGCCACCACCACCCCCAGCCCCACCGACTACGACGACTACTACTGGTACTGCTACTGCTGCTGCTGCTGCTGCTACTCGCCAGTGCCACAGCCACTGCGACCGCGACTGTACTCCTATTACTCCGTTTTGCTACGACTACTCCTGGTCCTACTCCTACTTGTATTGATACTCCCACTACTGCTGCTGCTGCTGCTACTGCTCCTCCTGCTGCTGCTGCTGCTGCTGCTGCTGCTGCTACTGCTACTGCTACTGCTACTGCTGCTGCTGCTGCTGCTACTACGACGACGACGACGGCGACGACTACTAGTATATACTTTTTGCTTTGCATGCACAACCGCGCACGAGCGACCCATGCGTGAAGCCGGCTGCTGCTGCTGCTGCTGCTGCTGCTGCTGCTGCTATTACTACTACTTCTACTTCTACTTCTAAAAACTACTTCTACTTCTACTTCTACTTCTACTACTACTACTACTACTACTACTAGAACAACAACAACTACTACTACTACTACTACTACTACTAGAACAACAACTACTACTACTACTACTACTACTACTACTACTAGAACTACTACTAGAACTACTACTAGAACTACTACTAGAAGAACTACTACTACTACTACTACTACTACTGCTTCTAAAAAGACATGCGGCGGCTGCTGCTACTGCCACTGCTGCTGCCGCTACCACGACGACGTCGACGACTACTACACTACCACAACCACTCCCGCCACAGCTGCTGCTACTTCTACACAACCACACCCCGACTATGACAACGACTGCGACGATGCCTGTCACTATCGCTACCTGCCACCGTCACTTGAGAGTGGTAGGCAGTAGTCCAAATATTTCTAGCACCATGACTTTGACGCTCTTTTTTGCAGGCTGCGGAACTTGTGAAGTCTTAGAGAGCAGGCAAGATGTGGTGCCCAGGGCAGGGACTTTCGGGCGACATAGTGGCAAGCAGCTAAAGCCTATTGCACAACAGGAGCAACAACAAGCATCACAGGTCGCGCATACTAGTACCGAATGACACCATAGGAAGTTTTTGTCGTTGCGTAAAATGCTGGCGAGGCTATGCCGTCATCAACATGACAGAGCCCACAGACACTCGGTTGGCTTCAGTTCTTTTCCTACCTACCAAGTCGCGTAAGCGGTGTGCATGAGCTTTGTGCTCCCCACGGGCTGGAAGGAATGAGTGCTACACACCTATAGTCTTTGAGTTAGCCGAAAGCAGAATCTTCCTCAAGCTCCCATACATTGTAGATGGATACAGGGTCTAGTGGGTATCCAAGCACCACATTTCTCAGACGACTGTCCTGGCACAGAATTTCCTATCATCCCGACCTATGCTATGGATCCTCCCTGATTTGGGGACTTTGTAATGGTCGTGCTGCTGATCGTCATCACACTTCTGTTTGCGCCTGGAGTAGAAACAGCGTTCAGAAGGCAGCAGTGAGCATTTTACAGGGCCCTGTATCCTGCCTTCTCATTGTTTGGCAAGCCACCGGGCTGAGGCGCAGACACACAGTCCCCACATCTTGACCGTCTTCCGAACCACCAATGCGTCCGTGACGCTTGCCTTCGAGATCACCGACGCTGCTTGGCAGCTTTTGTTCATCTCTGAAGTCGGGCATGCAGGAGTCTAGGTTTCAAGCTTCTCCGGAGCCCAGTGGGTGTCAGAAGATGGCAGAGTCTTTCGCCCACCCTCCGGCGCTCATAAGGCAACGGGAAAAGTGATCACGGACCAATCTGCTTCTTGCCTTTGACGGGGTGGTTCTTGATTTGCTCGGTGGTTTGATGTTCCTTATAGCCCCTTTCTACAGGGACGCTAGTCTGGCAGAGTCTCTTGAATCTCTTCAATTGGGCTTTCATGCCTAATTTCGAGAGTTGCAGCCCTGACCTCTGGTCGCTCAGCCCTTCATTGATACTACCATTCCGGGCACTGCGGCTCATTGGCAAGAGCGTTTATAAGATTAATGATACTGCGAAGCAACACCACGAAGCGTAATCAGATAGCAACGAACACCACTAAGAAGTTTTGTCGGGTGACTGATATCCGGGCAGTTCTTTGTGAACCTTAGGGCCGAGAACTAGAGAAGAGCTCCCTAGACCCCACCGATTTTCAAGCAGCATGTGTGCAGTGTGCTGCAGAAACTTATTTTTGGACCCTTTAGTCTAACAAGTCCGAGCTGCGAGAGTCTGGCAGCAAGACAACAGACCCAAGGCATAACAGCGAGAATAAGAATGGCATCGAAAATAGAGGCATCAACATGAAAGAATTCTATAGAACCAGACTTGAGAACATGCTGATCGCAATCGTTCGGCAATAAATACTGATAAAACTTTTGGCCCTAAGTCCCAAGCCCGCGTACCATGATCATGATCATTCTCATCACGACGACATTCCCCCAAGGCCGGAGTCTCTCTGCAACAAGTGGCTCGACGCCTGGGAGAGGTCACGGAGGATGTAGAGAATCTCTGGGAGGAGGCTAGCAGCTGGCTTCATGGGCCTAGCCGGGCCTTCGACGGGATAATTTCGGTTTCGGGGCTTAGGTTGAAGCTTGTGCTAATAGGGTTTCGGCAGTATAAGCCTTCACCTGATTATCTGAGACTTGCAGACAGCGCGGTCATGGACTTAAGATCCGTCTAATTTGCTAACCTCGAATGTAGGTGGTTGCGAATATGACGAACGGTTTGCTTGGGCCCGAGGCCTCCCTACTGGGTATGTCGAGGAGTTTTGCGCTTACACCAGGAACCTTGTTGCCATGAGGCAGAGAGACGCATCATGATTGTCTAGAGTGCAACAGAGACAGGATTTCGAAACCGAGGCTTCATCCGTCCATTAGCCTTGTTTCCGCTGCCGACTTTCAGGATCCAAATCGTGCGTGTGAGTCAGGGATGTCGGAGACGGATTTGCTTCCTGTGCCGCCAGACGCCCTAAGCCCTCAACGTAAATAAGGTTCATGGCAGACTCAAAGAGTCCGAAAACAGAAGCATACCATGCAATCCTAAATCAAGTCGCTTAGCCAATATCCATTTCGCTCCAAACCCCGAAACCCAAGCCCTCCATCCCAAACCCTGAACTTCTATGCTTTCTGACTGAACCCTGCAATGCGAGCTTGTCTAGCCACGAAAAACCCTGGATTCAAAAAAGGGTGTTTAGGGGAATCTGCAAGAGACCGGAAGCCGGAGCCTCTGTCAGAGGCGACAGTCGTCCAGTCAGCTTTGGAGGAGCTCTGGGTAGGGTCTGGAGTTAGGGGTTTGGGGTTGCTATAAGGATCCCTTCATGGGAAGGTAGGGATTCTTGTTAAGGGTTCCGGTCTCGGGGTTCATTTGCAAGGTGGTTGGGCCTTTTGGGTGCTTTGCGCCGATACTGGATCAGAAACAAGCAGGAGGCTGCAAGGAGTCATCGTCCCGTGACTGCCGGAGTTGTATGAATTAGCGTTGCCGCGTGAGATTCACTTCACGCGTGACTTTTTTGATTGGCTTATATTAGACTGTGAGGAGGAGGCGCCGCCACGTCAGCTGAGCGGTCGCAGGAGAAGTGACTCGTCTGGATCATCTTGATAGTGTTACCTCCAGCTTCGAGCTCGTGGTCGTAGGCTTGAAAAGTTCTGTATGTTGGCTAAGTTATGTAGAACAGAGGGGTAGCAAAAGTCCCAATACAAGTGCCGGCACAGGGGTCTTCAGTTAAGAGTTCTGTCGCGCCTCCCATTTGTCTAGTTGGTGTGACATCTGGTGTGATATGCTAAAGCTGCGGAGTTTGGGGCCGAAGCACCTGCCTTTGCATTTCGGGTTCCTCCAGGGCCTAGACTTCCGTATGATGGTTGCCAAGATAGGGCTCAAGCTGAACTTCGGGTTCAACCATGACTTTCTTCAGTCCGCGGAAGCGATGATCTTGGCGAACTATCTGCCTATTCCCCAGGCTACTCTGGAGGATACAGACGCTCGGATGACATGAGTGCCTGGCTTCTGGGGTCTATCTCGGTCGCACCTTATGATAAAGCTCCGTGGCTAACCTGATACTTGCCGATTGTCTCTGCCGGTTTGGGGCTTATCAGGCCTCGGTTAGAGTAAGCCGGGATCTTCGCAGAACCTGGCAGCCTGCGGTTGACTTGGAGCCCTTATGTTTCCTGCCCATGTCTCGCGCGCGAATGATCATGCAACCTGCCTAGCTATTAGGGGGAAGCAGGTATACTATAAGATTATTTCATAGATCATAATATCATATAGCATGGCGTGACATAAGATAATTGTAATGAACAAGGTTTGGTACGATATAGTAGAACATAATATGATACAAATGGTATAATGCAATGTAGCATATTCATTATGGCTTTTGGAGCATGTTGAGGCACCAGCTGAATCCGACAGTTCTGAGCTCGAAAGTGTCACATCTCACGTTAACGGCTCCTTGTTCCGGTCGTTTTGGCTGTGTGGGCTCGGATATTTGCGCGACGAGTCTCATCTTGAGTAAAAAGCCAGCTTAGACCCAAACTGCCCCAACTCTTAAGCCGCATACACTAAATGAGATAAACTTTGCATTCCAGACATTTCCAAACCCTGGAAACCCCAAACTTTGCAGATCCGAGCAGACCCTAGCAGCACGAGGCTCCCCGCGCCGGCGGGCTGTCAGCTCCCCGCGACGTCGTAGTCCGGTTTGCAGTCAGTGGCTCTCTCTCGGGTTTATGTAGAGTAGGGTCTAGGGCTTAAGTGGGTCTTTCTGAGGCTTATCATATGGTGTGCAGGTATAAGACTAACATTGAAGAAGGTTCGTATTGGGTCTTAGGTTGCAGCAGGCAAGCAGGCATGGCATGTGCAAGCACCGTGTTTCCGGGGGGTTGGCAGTATACTTGAACTGAAGCTTATGAACCCTTAAGCTAAAGCCCTACGCACTGTGTAGGGACATGTATATAGGCTAGGCGGCTAGGCTAGTGCAGTTTCTGGTGAGCTGGACAGGTGCATCGTCTCCTTCACCTCCTCCGTCTCCGCCGCCTCCGCACCTCGGCTTTTTGGGTTTATAGTTTTGAAGATTCAAAGTTTCGGGATCTTGCGAATCTTCGGGGCACGTGGGTTTCACGGGGTGTATGTAATGGCTGGGCACAGAAGTTCTTTCCGACTCGTGCGAAGCAGCTAAAGAGGTCGGGAGCTACAGAGTGGCCATGCTCGAACCTCAAGACCTTCTTTGAGAGAAGGGCTTTGGGTTACTGTTTCAAGTCCTAAGTTTCCTCCCTTGCCAGTATGATCGTGATATCATGTTCAGCTGTCCGTCCACGGAGCCGTGACGGCCTTGATACTCCTCAGGCCAGCATCTGCCGGGCCAGTTTCCGGAGCTTCTGCTAGACGTCGAGGCTGGATGATGTGCTTGGTACCCGTGACCATTTCGTATTGCGCAAGTGTTCTGGTGACATGGTCCTGCGGAGGACCCGAACCTTATACTCCCTGAGCGAATCTTCGTTGTCTGTGAAATGGAGCAATGAATGCTCCGCTCGGGCTGCCATTTTTTGGCGGACTCCCGATTTCAGCAATCGAGCGATATGGAAAGATTTTTGGGACACGCGGACAGCTCAGCAGTTGTTTGGGCTGCTGTGGAGGCTGCAAGGCCACTACCCGACCCAAAAAACTGATCGCTGCTTTTCCTAACCAACAACAGGATCTTGATTTAGTGAAGACGCCGGCTTATCTGATTCTCGTGGACTCGCAAGCACGTCAGTAGATGCTCTGACCTGTCTGCTGTCGTTGCTGTGCGCATCTATGCCATTGCCACAAAGATACCATTCGAACACCGGTTCTAACCCATAGACCTATCATGCTTAAGGAGGCAAAATGAGGCTAAGCATTCGGCCGTCAGTGGGTTGGATGGCTTTGTTTCAAGAGGGTGGGATTGAAGACGAAAGTTCGGTAGACAAAGCCCGATCAGGCTACACAGAGCCGATGAGCCAAAGGCGGCGCACAGCCGGCTACGACAACAAGTGCTTTGACGCCAACTAGCGAGAAGTTGTTGTTTTTGGCACTGAAGGATGCAGTCGATCAAATGCTTGGAGTCCCATGCCATACTCGCACACTGTGCAGCCCAGCCCAAGTTCGAGTTTGTTCTTGCGCAGCTCCAACATGGAGTGGCTCGCTTCCGGTGTTCCCTTTGCCGAGGCACTACTCCAACCCCTCGAACCCTGCAGCTGGCAGCTACGGCTATGCAAGCCAGAGCCTGTGGCCTTCTTGGAGAGACTATTCGGGCTGATACGTTCTAGCTCGAGGTCGTTTCTGGGTTCGCCTTTTCGACGTACTTCTTGTCTGCTCGCTTGACAAGCCTGGAACGTCTCAGTAGCCAGAGTCCCCTTCCAGAGGCCAACGGGCCCGACACGAGGGTCTGGTAAGAGCCCCGGATGATGGCCAAACAAGGCCAAGCATGTCCAATGACAGAGCCGAGGAGTGCGGCTGCCAGTAACTTCGGCGGCCGGCTGCCTACCAGCACACCGTGCCCTGGAAGTAGAAGCCAGCAAGCTTGGGCAGGACTTCGGGTTCGTGGTTTGTCCAGAATTTGACGGGTTCCAGCGTCCAACCCCCAAGCGACACGGTATCCAATCGAAAAACCTGGCCCCGACAGCTGAGCTTCTCTCGTGTGTCCAACGAGCAGGTATGGCTACACCGGTGCAAACGCTTATTCTGGTCGAACCGGCATGGGTCGGGCCCTTAACATGATCCGAAGTGGACTTGTCCAAGCTGTTTCGATGTGGTAAACTGCTAGACTCTAGAGTGTTGTCGTGCTTGATGGTCGACCTGAAATTCCCCTCACCAGTATGAAGAATGTTTAATGTGCGGAGAGCATCTGTAGGGCCGATCGCCACAAGCCTTCAGGCGAAACAGCTCAGACACACTCGGAATTCTGGCCTCAGAGAGGACCTAGATTCCCGAAGTGTGTCCAATTGCCGATCAGCTTTCTCATTGTTGCATGCAGGCATTTGTCCCATGAGGCGTTCCCTTTGTCCGTAGTGTTCATGCCTAGGAAGCGGCATGCAGATTGCCCTTGCTGGTGGAGGCAAAGGAGATGCAGAGAGAGAGAGAGAGTTCAAGAAAGGTAGAGAGTGTGTTTGTATGTGTATATATATATGTATAATTAATAGTTATTCTATATATATATATGCATAAATGTGTGTGTGTGTGTGCATGCGAATCACCTGGCCCGTGCATCTGCATCCCACATGGGCATGTACATCTCATTTTGCGTTAAAAGTTTCGTGGACTGCAATTCCAACCTGAGCCTCCGAGAACGCCCTTCAATGATATCATGAAGTTGAGGGGAACTAGAGTCAAATAGCCTAGTACGGTTTCACGGCATCGTGCAGCTGCAGCAGAGCCAAATTTCCCTTGGCCCATATTCTGCCAAGGGACGTCGGAACTTACTTTGGTCAGGATATGTAGGTCTTGGTGGGGTGAAGTGCAAGCGACAGGTGGCCTTCTGGCTGGAATGGCGCTGAGCAACTTGATGCATCATTCGTGGACCGGGTATTCTCAACAGCAGATGCCGCTGGTGCAGCAAGAAGTTACATTGAATAACTTGCCGCGCTCCGCAGAGTTAGGTGCACACTGCCAGCCGGCGCCTGCTTCCTCGTTACTATTGATTTTGATCACCGTAGCCGCCGTACTATTCCAAGAACTCCCACAACGGCTTTCCGCTGTGTATGCATCATGCCCCAATTTGTTCTGGAAGCATTCCTTTAGCCCGAAGATGTGGGCTGCCACAGTCAACATATCTTCTTGAAACACTGAGGCTGAGCATGCCATGCTCCTCTGGATCGTGGTCCGGGCTGTGCAGCACATGCAGCTCGACCTTACCATGCCAAGGATGAAGCTGGGGAGTGCCAGAGCAATGCAGTTTCGGAAGCACACCCTTTGAAGGCTGCTTTCTCAAAACCATTGCGGCAGGTCGTAGGGGTTCACCACTTCCGCATGACCCACTGCACCTGGCCGACTCAGCTGTCTGATCTGCGCAAAGGCGTGTCTCTCTATGGAGCCGACAAGTGTGACATCAAGCTCCTTGGCCAAAAGGAAGTAACGTCGGCAGAAGAAGCTAACTTCAAGCCACACTCGCTCAGCTGCAAGAGTAGAACATGATGGCAGGCGTGGCTAGACAGGATTCCGCCGACGTACATGCGCAAGGTGCTGCAAACGTAGTGGAATGGACTGAAATGGATGTATTTACGTGGCTTGTTTGCATACAGTTCTCCCGTACATAAGATCCTATAACCACCTATATGTTTTTACCAAGACGCGTGTGCACGTACTTGCATGTATGTGTATATATATATATATATGAATGAAGGATGCAAAGAGAGACCGAAGGTGTCCAGAGAACATCTATCTCTATCAGTTTGTCAAGGACGTCAAATTTCGAGGATCCTGGTCTAAAGACTCTCGCAGCCTGAGGATCTCGCCGAAGATCGATGCCACTCGCGATGACCTCGTGAATACGGGCTTCATTCCTGCAGACTTCACGTGGCCCATACACGCTACTCGGGCTTGAGGTTTAGGGTTTAGGGTGGAGGTTTAGGCCAGGCATTGCGCACTCGCGAGGGCGTTAACCGGGTCAGTTGCATGTTGCATACTGGCGCATGGCTTCCAGACCCGTCGAAGCATTGTTTGGGGTAATCGGATCTCAGAGCCACTCCGTAGCTGGACCTGGCTCTTGGAATTCGCTCCTGTGGGGCTCCACAGGGGCATTGGTCTTACAGCGAGGTGAAGATCACATCGATCTCCAGCACCGATTTCGAGCCCAGCTCCATCTGTCCACCGACCACTCCAGGCCGGGAATTTCTTCAGGTTTAACATCAGAGGTAGGGATTTCATGGCCAACTAATGACAGATGTGATGCAACCTCGGGACAGGGCAACAAACGATTTGTCACTCCTGCACAGCTCTTTCGCCCGGGCCGGTAGCTCATCCTGATACAGATCACTCCCGGTGCTCGATGTTTTCTGTGTGTAGGAGTCCATGCAGATGCAAGCTTTTTTTTTCAGTTAGTCCATGCGCGCTGGAGTGAAGCCCGCCTTGATCTTGAGTCCCAGAAACCCTATGAGCTCCGAAATCGAAGCCACTGCCAGCGCAGACACCGAAGCCCTAATATAGGGGACTGAATCATTACCTATACTATTTTGGGGGTTCCTTGTTTATAAATATAGTGTAATATACCCGAAAACCCTAGTCTAATCATTAAGGCCCCGACATTTACCCCGAAGTTTCACTTCAAAGCTCCAAGAGGAGTCAATTGGACGGCCCCTCCAATGAAGCAGCCTCCTAGCTGCATCTCTTCAATCGTAAGAGATACGGATATACTTTATATACTATTACGACATATAGCAAGATATATTAATATACTATAGTGTACTAGATGTGTTTGTTCGCCTCCAAGATTGAAATTAATTTGGGGTCCAGGCTTGAATGTTTAGGGCAATTAGGGGGTAAAGCTGAGGCATGTTGAGATGTTGGACACGTCTAGGCCCTAGGCATCGTTATGTGAACACGCATGCATGAATACATACAGGAAACTACGGAGCATTCAGACCCATGGACTTTATGAATCATGGGATATAATGTGAGAGAAGCACAAGGCAGTTGCACAGACATTGCCTGAAGAGCGCCAGGGGACCATGGGTTCATCCACAACCCTGCATTCACCACGTCGTGCTCACAGACAGATCATGCGCAATTGACATATAAAAATGAACCAGCCGGAACATGACAGCTGACGAACATCTTCGTGTCAAAGCCACAAGTCCGAAAAGCAACCACAGCTCAAGCAGCTGGATCCTTGTTAAGGTGGTTAGTAGACTTTGCACAGGCCAAAAGCAAGAACATTTGTTAATGAACCCCGGCGCCTGGAGGAGTGTTTACAGTTGGCTGAGGGTTAGACTAGTGGAAGACCGTTTCGGCTTCATGGTCTAGCGAGTAGGCCAGTTGTTGAAAAGCGGATGAATGGGGTCTATGAGCTGGTGGCAGAGTGCGGCAGCACTTGGGGGACAGTGCGATGATCCAGTCAATCAGGAGAAGAATGCTTTCGGCTTAGCCCTTGCCGCACACGGCGGTACGATACGCAACAGATCCCTGCGTTGAGTGGCATCATGACCTGTGATGGGTGTAGCAACGGCTTCGAGGAGTATGAAGCCTGCGCACACACCTGGTGATTTCCAGGCTGTATAGGAGTAGGGCTCTGCCGTAGACTAGAGTCACTTCGAACGTGAGATTCTACGTTGACTCTGAAGGCTGTTCCTGACACTGACTACCATGGAGGAGCTCTCCGCCCCGCCTGCTGCAACCTGGACGATTGGATGTGTTGTCCGAGAGACTTCAAGGACACATCCAACAAAGCATGCTATGCATACATCCGACTTTAAGAGTTTTGCATGAACAGAAGGTTCAGCAGCTTCCTTCTTATTCCAGTTTTGCGGTATACTTGAGCTGCTGTTTGAGCTTCGGGTTTCTCATCGATTGCAGCAGTTCTTGGCACAGACAGCGCAACAAGAGCGTAAGTTTGTGTGCCCTAGTATGTATACGTACTAATGTAGGTATGTACGCATGTACGTCATGTATTACTGCACAGACAGACAGACAGGCAGACAGACAGACAGGCAGGCAGGCAGACAGACAGACACACACACACACACGTGCACGCACGTGCTTGTCGGTTTTGAGATAGGGAAACACAGAGTCGGATAGAGGGAGGGAGGGAGAGAAAGAGAGAGAGATAGGCAGATAGATAGATCGGTAGGTGGGTAGGTATATGTATATATATATATACACACCCATATCTGTATGAGCAAACAAAGCTTGGACGAAAGGCATCCGCTAGCAGCTCTGGCTTTTCCGGCATGTTTTCGGCATTGATTGCGACTCGGCCGCATCGCGACTTTTCATAAGAGGGTTTTTACATAAAGCTCTCGTACACTGTAGCGGACATTCTGGAACTTGCGACCGACTCCTGTTGTCAGCAGGCAGAATCACCTGGGTCGGAACAAATACAGCGGTAACAACATCCGCTACATTTCCTACTGTATTTTGTAGAGTTAAAGTAAGATACATACCCCAAGACCTTATTCCAATCATTTTATGGCCTTATATTACGCAGCAAAGGCTGCTCTTGCCGCTTGCTGCTGTTGCTGCTGCTGCGCTGCTGCAGCCTGGCAGATGTCGAGGCCCGCCGGTGCAACACAGATGCCTGAAGTCTCCGGGTCCTGAACTTGCGACCTTCATAACGAACGTAACGAAGATTCTCATGTAGCAGAAGATCGAATCTAGTATTAGGGCAGGTCGTTGCGGGATAGGAGCAATGCCGAACAGTAGACAATTCGCTGCCAGACCGGGGCGTCACCCATGGAAGGGCAAAGAGACCAGCAGTACTGTAGCAGTCCCAGCGTGCTTTGTTGAATATGACTGCGCAAGTGTTCTACATTTCTATACCCGCACATGCAACGCTCCATTATGACAGGTATGATGCTAACAGATTACTTCTGTCGATGCAACCCGGTCGACACGCAGATAGATGAGATGCAGCAATCGACCGGAAGAGACGCAGGGAGATGGAGGTAGAGAGAGAGCTGAGAGGCAGCCACAGAGAGAGAGAGAGAGAGAGAGAGCGAGAAAGAAAGAGAGCTGAGGGGAGCAATCCTCTTGCCCATAGCCCAGGCGAAAGAAAAGAGCTGAGAGAGAGCCAGAGAGAGAGAGAGAGAGCAGGTGTGTGTGTGTGTGTGTCTGTGTGTGAGTGAGCGATAAGCATACATATATGTCTGGACATGCATACACTGCATACACACATAGATATATGTGTATAGATGCTGAGTGTGTGTGTGTAGGTTAATCTGGCAGGAAGCGCACCGACTGGGAGACCGGGACATCATCGGAGTCTGAATCAGATGGCTACCCCGCCCCGGGACAGGTGCCTTGGTCTATAATTAAAACATATATATATATATATAGATAGAGGATTTCGAGTTTGTTTTTAAATGTGAATAGAGGTGCTCGGATTTTGGATTGGGCATGATTCGAGCTTCTCGGAGTCGTATGGATCACTGGCTACACGTGATTGGCAAGTGGAACTTGTGGGAGCTCATGTCGACCTGCTTCTGCATGAAGAGTGCAGAATCAGTGCTCGAAAGGGCTGAGGTAAAGATAACAAAATGCAGCACAATTGCAATGAAAGTGTAGACAAGTGCCAGCAGTCAGCCCAAGAGGTTGCCGTAAGTTTAAGAACAAACGCAAAACTGCCTCGGGCATTCGGCCTGTCTCGGGTCACATCGTCACATACTTGACACGTTGTTTACACTGTGTTCACGGTTTTTCGGGCTGGTTCTCGTCCGACAAGTGCGAACCGTGTTTGCCAGCCCCACCCCTCGCCCCCGCCACGCAAGAACTTGAAATATACTATAGAAAATGTCACACCACAAAGCGCAAGACAAAAACACGTAAAATTGACGCAGCCCGCGGCCTGCGAAAAAGCGCCGTGAAAAGAACATGTCATCAGCACAAAGAATGTCTTCCGTAGGAATTGTGTGGGTAAAGTGTGGAAAAGCATGTAGAGTTGCTTCATCATTCTGCTTTGTCGGAGGCTGCTGGAAGCTGCTACTTAGGTTGAAATGTCTTCTCTCGCTCAACATGACACACTCTGCAGCCATGGCCGTGGCTTCGTTGACACATTTACACTTCGTGTTACCCCTCAATTACATCTTCTTTTCGTTTCACTTGCAAAGGAAAGATTTGAAGGGTTGACTTCACGGAACAGCGGATTTCTTAGGCGGAGGCTATTGGAGTTGCCACACATCTATGGAATCTATGCCATCGGGCGCACCATTGAACCAAAAGTGTCAGTAGACAGGGCGAAGCCGCCCTTCAGGTTTCAAATCTTCGACGGTCCTCAATCCTCAACCCTGAATCCTTGAAAGGCACGATGTGGTCTTGGCACTCAGCGAGCCGTAGAAGTGCGAAAACATGACAAAATAATCCAATTCCGAAATCCAGCAGAGCCGCAAGCTTCAAGCATTCACGAAGTCCCTGCGTCTGTTTCGTCAGATGGCCTATGCCCGCCCGATGCAACCGCCGGTGCCAGGCCCCCCTAATTTGCCGTTGCTTTGGTCGAGTCCTGGTAGAGTTCAGCCAAGCGTTTAGGCATTTATCGTTTGCACCACTTCAGTGCCAGGGTTTGGCAAGCTCAGGTAGAATAAGTCTTTTGAGTTAGGATTGCAGTCGACTTTGAATTGGACGTTTGATTTCAGCTCGACTGGATAGAGGGCGGGTTGGCTTTGCTTCTGACAACCGAGAGGCTTTTCAGAATTTTCGACGACAGGTATAGGAGAAAGCCTAAACCACTGCTCTGCACAGCAAAAGCCAGACCTCTCTTCTCCTTTCCTGGTCGGGTCAGCATGCAGGACAAGGCCCACACCCGTACTGGCAAGGATCCGCGCCCCAAGGACTGGACGTGATCATGTAGCGGAAGTAGCTACACGACGACGATGTTTCAAAAGCTGATCCCTAGTGACGAAGTGTCGATGACTTAGTTAGTAAGTTAGCTTATGGACAAGTTACGATGGTGATGGCCTTGTTCTAGCATCCCCTGGCACCTACCATCTTCAAGGCCATGGTCATCATGATCATGATCATCATCGTCACAATCATCATCATCATCACCACCATCCTCATCATCATCTTCGTGATCAGCATTGTCATTATAACATCACCATCAACATCAGCAGCATCATGATCATCGCCATGATCATCAACATCACCGTGCCCATCATCAGCGTCATCACCATCGAGATCCGTGTCAACCTTGGACACATCGTGGATCTCTGATGCAAGCAGATGAATGTCTTCTTTCCGGCATGTCCCCCCCCCATCCCGCCTTCCCCACTCTGCCTTCCCTCATCCTCCAACCCCACCTTTCTCCCATCCCCAATGATGATGATGTTGTTGATGATGATATTGCTGGTGATGATGATGATGGTGATGGCTTTGGTGATCATGATCATGAGTATGACGATGATCATTTCGAAGATGATGTTGATAATGAGGGATTTCGGAGGCGGCTTCTTGTCCTCTGCAACAGCGAATTCAAGCGTACTTGACGAGGGATTCTGCTTGTACCATGTTGAGCTCATAGGCGCCGAGGGGAGAGTTCTAGGGGACTCAAGCTCGTGGCAACATGTGGGGGCAGAGTAGAGGAGGGCTTATTCTCTCTCTCTCTCTCTCTCTCTCTCTCTCGCGGAGCCTTTGAAGCATGGAAGAACCCAACCAGTTGACACACACACACACACACAAACCGGCATCATGTACAATTATAAGCAGCAGTAAATGAAGACAAAGTAGGCCCGAATGGTCCAAGACAACAGAAAGCCCACCTTTCAAGACTCGTGCCCGAACGATACATCCTGCGACGCAGCAGTTTCCGCTTTGGAAAAAGTCGTCTCCAGCGATCCCAAACGTTGCTACCTTGCTGAAAGCGAAATGTGGGGAGGACCGCCGCAACCAGCACCGTACGCTGGCGCCGCATATGCCACTGGGGCGCCCTATGCGCCCACCTCCTTCGTACAGGGCAGCCCGCAGCTTCGGTCTGTTTATGTTTGTTTTGGGCAGCTGCATCACATTTTTATCGAGGGTCCGAGGGGCTTGGTGCAGCTGCTTCCACTTCAGGGGTCGAGCTTGAAGTTTCAGGTCGATCGGGTTCCGACTTCCTGACAGTCAACACCATTCGCTGTGCCCTGCTAGTCCCTGAACTCTGCATGAACAGTGTACGCTGTAACACCGCAAATGTTTGCAGAGATCCGCAAAAAAGCAGAATCACCGAAACATGACCGCTTTTAAATTTCAGAACCCCACATTGGTCTCAGCCAGGCAAGCCTACCCGCAGCCTTTCCAGTCCGGCGAGGGGTTTGCTTGGGCGGGCTTCGGCAGCGGCGGCTTCATGGACCCGGGCAGGGCTTTCGGGTGCGAGAGCTTCGGATATGACGGGAGCAATGTAAGGAGGGAAGGCGGTAAACAAGGAGAGAGAGAGAGCGAGAGAGAGAGAGAGAGAGAGTACAAGGCTGTCGAACTTCTCCGCACCCTTTCGGGCGTCGTGGGGACATGGCCACCAAGTGCACTGGCGCATTCCCCACGATCCAGGAAGCTGCGATGAATCTCGTTTGGGGGGATTTCCAGGCACATTCCCTAGGAGAGTCGAGGCCAACCGCGTGGCGCCTCCTGGTGGCAAAGTGACCGCCACCATGGCTTGGGGGACGTACAGCGATCGACGGCACCACCTTCGCCACGAGGACGGGGAACACGCCGACCCAGGTCGCCGTCATTTGACTATGAGGAGTCCTCCAATGCTCGCAGAAGACAGCATGGCCCGAGATGGGGGAATTCAGCCGCACGTTGATGTTGTCTGTTGAGCTTGTTTGGCCCTCGTCCGCCGAACTCGTGCTGTGCTGTAGCCGCAAACACGTAGCCGCGTGGTTGACTCTGCAGTCGAGGGAATCAAGCTAGTCTGTTTGACTTACGAGCTTGAACATCTTTTCAACACAACTTCGCTATGTTGCACAGTCATTTTGCTACCGCCGTGATTGAGTCGGAGCCCTACAGTTGGCAAAACACACACTCAAGCCCGGAAATGCGGGGGCTCCTTACACTCTAGGTGTTTAAAGTGTCGTCTTGACGGTGTCTTTTTCGCGGAGTCCACCTTCTCCCAAGGCTGGATATGTACATGCCTGCACAGGTTCAGAGCTCCACCCTGGTACGAGGCCCTCCCAATATCCCGGATGGCAAGTGACACCTTTGCTTCGATCGCTTGCAATCCTTTCTCAGTGACCGGGAGCCAGGAGGAATTGAGTGTAACACGTGAACCGCTTGCCACATGCCCCCGCAAGCATGTGCACTGTGCACTGCGTGCCTTGTTTTTACTTGCTGTTCTGGTCTCGTTTGTTTTCTTTAGGGGGACGTGACGGGCATTGCGCACACTTTTTCCGAGAGACAACATTTTGAGCCGCCGATGCGAGGGCTCCACCGGGGGCTTTTTCACTCCTGTTTTAGTAGGCTTAGTTACAGCTGCGGTTGAAGCCGCACCGACGGGCCCAGTAATCCTCGTGACAAGATAGATGCAAGCCGCGCCCCAACATGAAGTTTCGATTGGTGGACTCGTGGTTTCACCTTTTGGTTTGGTGCATGGTTTGTTCCAACGGGGGACGAGGAGAGTCTGATGTATCTTGTGCCAGTTGCGGGGGAGCCTTGGAGTGCTAGAACTACAGTGCCGGTGGTGTGGAGCACCTAAAGGGACCTGAGCGAGGGGGACATCTTTCATGTGCAACTTCACTGTCGTTAGTGCCTTTCGGTTTTCGTAGTTCCCTGACAGTCCTTCGGCAGTCGTCCTCTCCGTGAAGGGAAACGCAACCGGCTGTGTGCAGTTTAGGTGGTGTCCATGCATGTCAACGACCGGGGGACTGCGTACCAACGCCTCTTCCTCCCCTTACATTCAATTTTGTAAGATTTACTGTTGTTGTCGCTTTTGGTGCGTAGGACAAGCCTGGTTTGAAAGTCACATAATCATTGCGGGGCCCTAGTGGCCCGGGGGCTTCGGACGCCCCTTACTCCCGGTAGAAGAAGAGAACCAGAGAGAGACAGATGGAGAAACAACATAGATCGCAGGATCATCTGCGACCCGATTTCCTGCATGAGCATTACCCCTCAAGCATAGTACGTGGCGCCTTTTCAACTTCTAGCGGATATATAAAGCTCTTCTGAGGCCTCATCAGAGATCCCTGGATTGCCCCGCGGTCTGATCGTTTTGACGGTGGTCCCTAGCAGGACACTGCCGCCCCCAGCGGTGCCAGTTGGGCCAATGCCACTTGGCTGGTCCTTCTAGCCCTTCTTGCCTGGACAAGGGAATTCTACACGTAACATCTGGCTGACGTTTAGAAGGCAGGAAGGCATGCCACACAGCCAATTAACATGAGACAACATGCGTTACACACCGGATGAGGTCTGCCGACAGCATCCCGTGAACGTGAATGGCTCAACCATGATGATCGACGGTGCCTGGGGCGACTCTCCGGCTGCATCTGCTGAAAGTAGGAGATATATGGTGCAAAGCGCACGTGACAGCTTTTACGCGGTTTTGAGCGAAGGCTTAAGCCTCTTGCACCGACAATCAAACAGCCTCCTGAGCGAGATATCTAGCAGGAACACCGCCAGCACCCACTTTGAAACGGCCTGATGGGCTCCTTCTATGTAGGGTAGGCTTTCTGCCCGGTTCTTTCATGTGTTTTTGAGCTTCACGATCGAGAATGTGCGAAGTATAAATTAGACCTCACGGCCATCCCCCATGCAAATGTGATGCTAGGCATGGCTAGCTCAAGAGTGGAGCATAGACTAGGCCTAGGCTTCCGTGTCATGCCCAATATGCAGACAACGCTTTGTTGTTATCAGGAATGTTTGGCTTGGGCCGTGGTGTATGAACACCAAAATCCCGGCTGGGAGTCCGACCCGCGGCCCCTCGTCATGCAGGAAAAGAGAGGGGCTTACCTTTTGTTCCCTTTTCTGAGCGGCCCATCTTAACTTGGCTGTGTTGCGGCCAGGATTGTTTTGGCTACTGTTGCGTGCTGCACTCACTGGAAGCAAACTAGACGAACTTGCTGACAAATTCGGAAGAGTTGGATCTCAGCTCATCGCTGAGATGTTCCCCGCAAAGCTTAATTCTGGTGGTGTAAAACTTGTAATTCAAGACCTCATACTTCCAGGATGGGAATCGGGAAAATTGACATGGCACGTCACGCTGCATATTTGCATTCCTTTACTTCCTTGGCTGCATATTGTCATTCCCAGTATGGTGTCCTCAGAACGAGAGGGTGCGTGGTGTCACGGTTCCGCTGGCATCGAGTTCATGTGCACATTGAAGAAGAGACAAAGCCCGGCTGGGTAGGCCTTTGGGATATTTTATATTTTTGCTTATTGGGCTGAAGAGGACTATTTACTAATACTTTTCAGAGGCTTTAAAGGGCCAACCAGCCAGGTTCAAGGACGAAGGGCCTGCCCAACAAGTCATCAATGCCATGCTCGAGACTGCGCCGGAAAGCATGGCCCGTTCGATTGAGATGGGAAGCCAGAATCTTGGCATGGTTTTGGGCTCAGGGCTGTACCGCTCCAGAACCAGTTGTAGTGATAAGTGTCAGTCTCACGGCGTTTTATGCTTGCCGTTGTGTTTATGTTCAGGTTTGAGGACGGAGGAGCTATATGCAGCAGCAGCAGCCGCTGCAGCTGCTCGTGTCAGTGGCACGACAAGCGTAATGGTTCTGCTTACGCTCGATGAAAAGTTTTGTCAATGCTATGACATGATCAGTTTCTGTTCTGAGCAAGATTCCTTTTCTCACATAGTACGCAGGCTTTTAGAACATGATGTATCGCATACATGCAAGTGTAGCCATGATGGTACTGAAGTGAG